CCACCTGAGGAAGGAGTCAGAGTTTCAAATTTACAGGAAGTGAGAGATTAAATTCATCTTTCAATAAAAAGAGTTAAACGATCTCTGACTGCAGCTTCGTGAATCCATCTGTTGGATAAAAACAGTATAAATGATTTTGACTGTGTAACATCTGGTGTTGAATTGAAACGAAGGTTCGTCCTCGTTATATTTTTATTTTACTTTGTAGTTCCAACAGGGAGGTTCCGACCTCGGCCTCGCTACCAGGACTGGTGCGAGGTCTTGTTATCAGTAGGACTCCTTTGAGAAAGTCCAGACCACGACTTCCTTGTTTGATTTTATAACAAGCACCTGGGAATGTTTTCGTCCTGGGTGAGAGTCTGAGAACGATGTGTGTGCGTTTATCTTTTATTGTGTGTGTGCTTTAATAAAACCTTTCTGAAGGCGTCAGCCCGATGAGAGACTGAACTGACAACGCACTGGTGTGTATCTTTCCTTCTCTCCGACTTTGCAAAGTCTGGTTATTGATTGGTGTTGGATTATTGGTTATTGGTATTGGTTTGAAACTGCTTACTCTAACCCCCTTGTGTGTGTTGAACTTTCTTTGAGGTAATCCTGGATTGAATAATAAAATTACCCAACATTTTGGTGCCATGACCCGGATGCTGGGAGATCGTCTACGGGGGGCCGAAAGGCGCGCCGCTCACTTCTAAAGCCCGGGGGGCTTGGATTGCTTCACCGGCCGGCTGAATAGCTCCGCAGACCACCTTCCGCCTACGGCTCTGCGCGTCGGAGTTTGGGGTGAATCCACCGCGCGGGGGGATTCCATGTGGTACCAGGTGTTTTAGTGTGCTTCGTGGATTTTTATGGGAGCAGGCTTTGCTTGTGTGGTGTGTGCAGTCTTCAGAGTTATTATTAGTAGTAGTAGTATTTGTAGCTTGCTTGAACAGCTTTTTCCAAGAATTTCCATCCTTTAAGTTAAAATTTCTTCTAAACTCTAAAAACTGACAAGCAAGCTTCTGGAATCACACGCTAACATTTCTTCTGGTTGTGAGTTGTACACAAATGTAGTGAAAGCATTTTACCTATTAATGTTTGTTCTGGACCTTATCTTAAAATCAGAGTTAGACCTTGGAATATCAAGCTTTGGAACGCTTGCAACACGACTCTTTGAGTTTTGTGACAATTGAAGAATGGGATCAAACTCAGTCATTTTTAAAGATTTTGTTAAATCCAAATCAATTGCTCATTTTAATGGCAGACAAACAGCTTCATGTTACAGGGGTTTGCCCCGCAGCGTAAAGACAACGGCTCTCTAAATACAAAGAAATGAGTTTGTTTCTAATTTAACTGTTAAACCCAAATACAAATGATTTAGTTGTTTTTTTAATGACTGTAATTGTATTATCAAAAAATACAATGGGATAACAATTTGTAGCATCTCTAAGCCTCCTTCCCAACCAGTTCTTTATTTGAACAAACAGTGCATTGTCGAAACGCAAACAGGGTGCACACAGACTTAAGCCGGGCGTACACTGTGCGACTTTTTCACTTTTTTGAGCCGATTTTCCACTCGTGCGAGAATCCACGAGATCGGGACGAGTTTTTCGCCGAGCGTCGTGTAGTGTACAGGGGGTTACGAGAGGCGATTAACACCACGTGACCAGCTACCGATCAGCAATCGTGAGCTCGCACGGACTTCTGGCGTGTTTAATATTTTGCTCGTCCCTCGTGAGGGTATCGCACTGTTGAAGCGGCGCTGCGAGCCGCTGCGACCCAAAAAGTATCAGAACTGCTCACGGCGCATGCGCAATCCTGCATCAACACCGCTCCCCGCTATTTCCCTAATAACACAGGCTGTTCGTTTTTATTTCTACACGTTTTTTTACTCACAAAGATTGTCAAGAAAGCGTGTTTGTTGTGTTCATGTCAAATTAAACTGATCACAAAACACAGATTTACTTTCTTTATTTCGTTTTCCTCATCCAACCCCCATAAATCCCTGTGTGTCCTCCTGCAGCACTCCCGAAGGACAACAGGCAAAACAAGACAAAAAAGTCTGACGTGTTGAGTAAAAACTGCTATTTTTAGCATATTTTTAGGTCCGACGTGTTGCTACCAGACGTACAGTGTGAGCAGTCAGGTCGCATCCGAGAACTGGGTCGTACAGTGTGAGCACATGACTCGTGAGATCTGCCCTGCGAGGAAGTCGTACAGTTTGAGCTGAAGCTGAGTGCTACGAGTGAAAAAGTCGCACAGTGTACGCCCGGCTTTACTAAACTGAGAGAACAAATCTGATCAACCACATTTTTGGTTGGATCATCTGACACACGTCAGAATCCGTGGAAACAACACACATTGCATCTACGTTGTAACAGGAACTGGTTTAGCCAGATCAGTGAGCTGGTGATCTCTTGTCTGGTGCCTTTAGAGTTCTTTTCAACGCATGCCAGACTTTACAGTTTCCTCCATGTTTCTTCTCACAGAAGGATAACACTAAATTCTGAATAATTACTTAATTGAAGAAAATCCTCCTGCACTAATAAAATAGTTTTCCCATAAATGGATTTTTATCATGTTGCACCATGACAGATAAAAATACTTCACAATGCGCAAACAAGTTCAGTGAAACATTCGATTGATGACAGGGAAATTGTGGCCAATATTTTAGAATTGTTAAAAGCAACCCTTTCTTATAAAAACGTCAAAAATAGTTCATGTGTGCTGTTTGTAGTACTGATTTTCACGTCAGAGCTGGACGGAGAATGGACGTTAGGCTTTTGTTTGGACAGCAATGTGGAAGGGGTCATGTGGGATGTTCTCTGTATCTGCTTTATCCTGTTCAGAGCGCTGGGGTGGGGGTTAGCCCTGTGGGACAATAGCTGAGATTACACCAATCATTAACACTCAAGTATGCAAACATCAATTTAGAATCAAAATCTTATCTAAAAAGCAAACAGGTTCACTTTTTATCAAAACGAGGCCATTTTCAACCCATTTGTACCCAGCTAATTCATTCCAATAGTAATATGGCCTCTGGAGTTTTTAAGCCCAACTGAAGCTGCACTTTAGGTCTCTGCTTGTCTCTTAGGTGACTTTTACTGTTATTGAGCTGCAAAGGTTGGTAACTGCTCGTAATTATCGAATGCTGGCTTGTTCTGTTGTTTTTGCGCGATTCTTGGTCATTTAATGTTGATGCTGTAAAATATTATTTGGTTTTTATTTTATTAACAGGGTGCACCCTTTGAATCGATTTTACTCGGTGCATTTTTTTTCTTGTATCCTATTATTTTTATATAAGCTTATTGTATTGTGTTCAGCATATTGGGCTACCTTGATTGGTGGAATATAAATAAATAATTGAATTGAGTCGATTGCTGATGGTGACAAAATGAATGTGGCACTGTTTTACATTGCCTGACTTGAATTGAAATAGTTGGTGTAATTTCCACAAAAAAAAAGTTTAAAATTTTTGATTGCATTCTATGGCAATGATTTAGGCTTTCCATCCATTTTCATCCAATTATCTAGAGTTGGGTTGCAGAGACAGGAGTCTAAGCAGAGAGGCCACACACTTCCCTCTCCAAGCCACTTGGGTCAGCTCTTTTGTGAGAATCCCAAGGCATTCTCTAGCCAGCTGAAAAATACAGTCCCTCCAGCGTGTCCTAGGTCTACTACTGGTTGGACATGCCCGGAAAACCTCACCGGGGAGGTATACAGGAGGCATCCTAAACAGATGCCCGAGCCACCTCAAATGGTCAAATGGTTCCTCTCGATGTGGAGGAGCAGACGGTCTACTCTGAGCCCCTCCCGGATGACCGAGCTTCTCACCCAGTCTCTAAGGAAGAGCCAAGCCAGGGATTTAGCCTTTTGTTTTTTATTAGGGGCGATACCCAGCGTATTGGTTATCTGTATTGAAAAATAAGAGTTATACTGCATCAGTATATTGAGTATTTGTTTTTTTTTAAGCCGGTGTTACGTTGATATGCGTTCCCCCCTCGAGATCTGTTACTTTTGCACCCATAACCCTGAAACAAACATAAAAATTGTGCTACACATAATATTTTCAAAAATTATATTTATGCAAAACATGCATTCTTGGTGCCAGGGTGGTTATGGTTAGGGTGAGGGTTATTTTTGTGATTGCGTCGTTTCCACTTGCAGTTGGGTGCAAAAGAAACAGATCTCGAGGGGGAACACATATCGACATTACACCACTGGTATTAAACATCCCTGTATGTCCTGTTTGTCTTTGTGATGGACTGGAGACCGGTCCATGGTGTCCCCTGGTCCCCCAGAGACAGACCCTAGTGAGGTGGTTAGAAGATGACTGAGTGAATGAGTGTGAACAGTCTAGTGATGTGTCGGTCGCGAACGAACCGGCTCTAAGAGCCGGCTCTTTGAAGTGAACGACGGGAGCCGGCTTGTCATTGGGAGCCGTCCCCTCCCCCCTCCCCCCTGCCTTGGTGAAAGCTACAGGTGATTGGTCAACATGTGTAACTGCGTGTCCAGACTGTCCACACACAGAGCAGTAGGGGCGGGGAAGAGGGAGGATCAGACTCAGACAGACACACAGCAGAGCACCTGCGGGCAGAGGGAGACGAGAGGAGGAAAAAGGCGAGCGTGAGAGAGGAGAGTGCGACGAAGATGGTGAGAAAATGAGCGCCAGCAGTCGGAAAGTGGAGATTTCTTAAAGTGTTCAGTTATTAAATCCATAGAAATGATAAATATTTGATATATTGCATTTTTTTACAGTAGTAAATCATTTTACATGTAGTTTTGCATTATTTTGGTTATAAATGTACTGTACGCAACAGAAAATCTGAGGAGCCACTTGGGAGCCGAAAGAGCCGACTCTTTTGGTGAGCTGAGCCAAAAGAATCGACTCTCTAAAAAGAGCCGGAATTCCCATCACTAGAACAGCCGTGTCTGTAAATGTGATTCCCCTTTAAAAATGTACAGGGAGTTTTTTTCCGCATGTTAAAACCCGCCCTCCCGCTTCTCTAACCAATACCCCCGTCCTCCTGCCTGCCCTGCCGGTTAGTCTTGTGACTTCTGTCTTTCCTGCCACTATGGCCGCGCTACCTGTGTTTACAGTCGTCCTGCTGGCTCTTGGCTTCTCCCGGGGCTTCCAGCATCACTTCGTCGAAGAGGAGCCGGAGCTTGTGGCTGGACCGTCCCAATACGGATCCCTGTGGCCTCTGCCGCAGAAAGTGCACATCTCCGATGTTTCATTCAAGTTGAGCAGCTCCAACTTCCAGATAACTGATGCCAAAGAGTCCTCTGCGGGTCCGAGCTGCAACCTCCTGCAGAGCGCCTACAGGAGGTGAGAGTCCCCGTTGTGTGCTTTTTATTTATTTAATTGTATTTTCTGAGGACTTTTAGACAGATTCGGCGTTGTGATGCGTTCAGTGACCAGTTTCACTTTGTTTTCTCGTCCCTGCAGGTATTATGAGTACGTGTTCGTTGGTCCCAAGAATCAGAAGAGGGGCAGAGACCAGCCGGCGGGCCCCTCGGAGGTGACAGAGCTCCAGGTGTGGATCACATCACCTGACTCGGACTGTGACAGCTTCCCCACCGAGTCTTCTGACGAGTCATGTGAGTCCCCGCGTTTCCTCATTGGTATCATACTTGAGAGCTTTTTATTATGGTGCGGCCGTACCCGGGTTACATGTTTCACAAGGTTGGAATTCCACTTCTTTCTTTTTATTTAATCAGCAGAGCTGTTTTATTGCATAAGCTCACATCCCAACATCTGACATAAATGCACCACTAATGCTAATTCACTAGTGAAAATAACAAGTTGGAACAGCCATTGCAAACTATGCTTGTGGACTTAAAATGTTAACATTACAACTCTTAAATGTTAAACTTTAACATTTTGAACACAGGATATGTTCTTATTGCTGTACTGGACTGTGGTGCTGCCTCAGCAGAAGCTAGATTGTATCGACTGTCTGGCCGGCAGATACCTTATCAGAGGGACTTTAATAAGATAAAACCGTAATCTATTGCTATTTGTTTGGTGGACTAAAACTTACCCAGCCTCAGCACTGATGCACGACCGCTTCATGCACATCAGAAGTAGCAGGTACCTGGACATCCTATTCAAATCGATTCAAGTTTATTTATATAGCGCCAAATCACGACAAGAGTCGTCTCGAGGCACCTCACATAGTAAACGTTCCAATACAGTTCTGTTCATTAAGCCAATCAGAAAAAAAAGTTTCCTATATAAGGAACCCAGCAACTTGCGTTGGATTGGATTTTCTTTACAGAAACCCTCATACTAAGCAAGCATTTAGCGACAGTGGAGAGGAAAACTCCCTTTTAACAGGAAGAAACCTCCAGAGGATCCTGGCTCAGTATAAGCAGCCATCCTCCACGACTCACTGGGGATCGAGAAGACAGAGCGGAGACATGCGTACACCAACACCAGCCCACCCACACACAAACACACATACAACATATATACCAAGTACTGACTACGTTTACATGCAGCCAATATCCGGGTCATGATCGGGTTAAGGTCGGTATTCGGGTTTCTGAGTTGATCAGAATAACCCGTTTACAAGCATAAATAGAAAGAGTTACCCCTAACTTGCATAACCCGATTTAAAAGCGGACATTGGGGTAGCGTCAGGACGTATGGACTACGTCAAGACGCAGCATGCGTCATATTTCGCCGTCTCTGTACTTTCGGCCGTCAACAAAAGACATAATGTTCATACTTTTCACCAGACCGATGAAGACAGAGGTTTCCTCGTCACTCCAAAAGTGTGGTGCTGTGCCGCGACTCGCCATGTTGCTCCCAACTTGTTGTTTACTTCCGGTGTTCTGGTGCATACAAGACGTCTCGCTACTCAAAAGACCAAGATTCCTTGCGCACAGAGCATGCGCAGAACACACGCTTTGATGGGGATATCCCGGTATGCGTTTACACGACCAAACATTCGGGTTAGAAAAGGGTTACCCCAGGTGTAGTAACCGGGTTTTTGGCGGTGTTTACATGGCCGTGCGAAACCGGGTTATTGTGAATATTCGGGTTTTAAAAGGGTTACTGGCTGCATGTAAACGCACTCAATGTGTCTATGGTTACATTGTGATTTCTTAGTAAATATTCTATTTGGTGAGCGATAAACTGTATTGTATTCATCCTAGTGGATCTATAATTAAACAGGTAAACTAGTAGTAGCACTTTCAATGTCAAACAAAGTAAAATGTTATTAGGAGAGGGAGAATGTTTACGTAGACATAAAACATCAGGATCAGCACAGACCAACGCTCCAGTCCAGTCCAGGTGTAATCTATTCAATTCAAGTTTATTTATAAAGCGCCAAATCAGTACAAGTCGTCTCAAGACACTTCACACAGTAAACGTTCCAATACAGTTCAGTTCATTAAGCCAGTCAGTAAAGAGGTTCCTATAAGGAACCCAGCAGATTGTATCGAGTCACTGACTAGTGTCAGTCTTCACAGCAACCCTCATAATCTATGTTTCGGTACCTGGTACCGAGACGGTACGGCTCCCATCTACGTGAATCCTCTTGCAAAGGCTTACGTCTCGGCCCGGCCGCTCCGGTCATCACAGGATCGTCGGCTAGCAGTGCCTACACCACGCTCAGGACAATCCAGACTTTTCTCATGCATCGTTCCACAAATGTGGAATGACCTTCCAAGCACTACCAGAACTGCGGCTTCCTTTTCCATTTTCAAGAAACTCCTGAAGACCCTGCTCTTCAGAGAGCATCTTCTTAACTAGCACCTTGTCTGCACCCGTCCCCCCTCTCTACTGTCCACTCCTTGTTCCATCCTCTCCATGATTGATGTCAATTTGTTGTTGTTATTGTTGTTGTTAGCCTCAAGGGCAAAATGCCGATTATCACTTGTAAGTCGCTTTGGACAAAAGCGTCTGCTAAATACATAAACATGTTTCCTATTTGCGTCTGCAGATGAGCTGTCAGTAGATCAGCCTGTTGCTGTCCTAAAAGCACCGAAGGTCTGGGGAGCCCTGCATGGTAGGTTTATTCACCCACATGATTTATTAATTATTAAAATAAAGCGACAGTGATAATAATTACATTTCTGCTGTTTTGAATTTAGATCGTTTCGTCTGACAATAATTGATGTGAAACACTGGAACACTCTAAATTTTATTATGAATTACATTCAATAAAAACTGTTTTATATAAATGGTCAATTTGTTTTACAAAAAATAATTAAAACCTTTTCTAAAGTGCTCAGTCTTTAGTGCAGTGTTCCTTCAAAAAATGTAAAATTAGTTTATAATAAAACGACGTGATGTTTTTAATATGAACTTCAAATAATTTAGATTTTATACAAGACATTATTTGGATTATATTTTATACTTATCTGAACGTTTGGTAAAGAAACTGACCTGTATTTAGAATTTTACATTTATTGTACCTTTGTTTAAAAAATAAAAAACTTGATTATGTCTTCCATTTCTTTGTATTATTTTTTATAATCGATTAGGTTTGGAAACGTTCAGCCAGCTGGTGTATGAGGATGAATTTGGAGCTGTAAGATTTATTTAAGAACCTTTAAATTGACCAAAAGTTTTGAACCAAATTTAAACTTCTGCAGTTTTTTTTAATTCCATGACTTTCCTCCTAGAAAACCATCAACTCAACAGTGATCAGCGACTTCCCTCGGTTTGCACACCGAGGTGTTCTGTTGGACTCCTCAAGACATTTCATCCCAGTAAAAGTCATCCTTGCTAATCTGGTAAGGTCGTTGTTTTTCTGTTATAATTTAGTTGACTTCAAAATGTAATTTTTCTAATCCATGTCTGATTTTCTAGGAAACGATGGCGATGAACAAATTCAACATCTTCCACTGGCACATCGTCGATGACTCGTCTTTTCCTTACCTGAGCCAAACGTTTCCTCAGCTGAGCGAGAAGGTCAGAAATAGCGATGGGTACCAAATTCGGTACTTTTTAAGGTACCGACCGAATTCCATAGTACCGACTGAGCACCGATTCAGGTAATTTGAAACGGTGCCTCGTTTCGGTACCCGTCCTTCATAACGAGAACTTGCCTAGACAGCTGCGCAAGAGCGTTATGTCGTCGGTCGCTGCGAGCGAGTTGTAAACAGAGCAGCATGGTAGAAAGAACGCACGCTAAAGCTTGGGTCCACTTCACTAAATGTGATGGGTAACTGGGTGATGATGAAACCAGCGACAACGATCTAAGTGAGATATTCTCATCTTAATCTGCTCCGGTAGGTAAATAAAATGTTTCCGATAACGTTAGCTTGATTTGTTAGCTTCCGTTCCGCTAATGGTGCGTTCGCTTTCTCCTCGGAACTCCGAATTTCCGACTAGAAGAACATGAACGCGCTCTAAAGTTTGGCTTCACTTTACTAAATGTGACGGGTGATTGGGTGAAGACGAAACCAGTGACAACAATCTAAGTGAGACATCCTCATCTTAATCTGCTCCAGCAGCTAAATAAACTGTTTAAGATAAAGTTAGCTTGATATGTTAGCCACGATTGTTATCAGCTAATGGTGCGTTCACTTTCTCCTCGGAAATTCTAACTTCCCAGTAGGAAAAATCAATTGAAAAAAGACGGCAAAAGGAATGAAGATACACAGTAAATTTAGTTCACAGTAAAGATGTTTGCTTCAGTTTAATTATCAGCTTATAAAACTACAAGGACGATGTTAAAATACAAACAGTTGAATGTTATTTATCGTGATATTTATCAAATATGGTTATATATTGAGAAATATATATTATTATAAAAGAGAATTAAATTATTAAACACTCAAAAGTATCGAAAATTGGTACCGTTAAGTACCGGTATCGATTCGTAGGTACCGGGAATTAGTACCGAATCGATTCAAATGTCAAAGGTACCCATCCCTAGTCAGAAAGTGAAAATCCGAAATGCGCCAAAAACAAATCTAGATGTTTTCTTTCCCTTCATGACTTGTTTTTGATCATTAATGTTCCCAGGGAGCTTACCACCCATACACTCACGTGTACACACCCACAGAAGTGAAGATGGTGATTGAGTTTGCTCGTCTGAGAGGCATTCGGGTCATCCCGGAGTTCGACACTCCAGGACACACGCAGTCTTGGGGTAAAGGTGAGTTACTCTGGTGTTTAGGCGACCATCTTTACTTTATTTATTCTATTCTCCTGATGTCGCTCGTTTCCCCTCTCAGGCCAGCCCGGACTGCTCACCCCCTGTTACTCTGGCTCCAAGCCTTCCGGCACTTTTGGACCGGTCAACCCCATCCTGAACACCACGTACGACTTCATGAGCCAGTTATTCAAGGAGATCAGCCTCGTGTTTCCCGACGCCTACGTTCATCTGGGAGGTGACGAGGTGGACTTCACCTGCTGGTGAGACTGCACAGGGTTCGATGGGGAGCCTAAGGGGCTCGACACACGGGAGGTGACAAACGACCGCGATCAGCGAAATTCGACGCTGTCGCTTTTATTACCTGACACACGGGAGGCGACTAGCGGCAAAGCTGTCTACGCGTTCTGTTCCATGGCGAAATCGAAACTTCCGTTGTTTTGTTTGGCTGTGTCAGGTTGGAGGGAATTAAGGTTATTGAAGCAGTTCAGAGTTAAAACAGTGGTAGATATGATGTTTCACAAGGTGCTGCTAGAGTTATGTGAAATCTTACTTCTGATTTTACTATAAAACATAATAATAATCAACTTCTCCTCCATGTTTGCTCGGAGGTGTACGGAGCATCCTGTCCGCTCATTGGTCAGTGAATGAAACCTCCGTTGATTGGTCCTCGTCCGAGCGACAGCGATGAAAAGTTGAAAATGTTTCAACTTTCTGGGATCGCGTCGCTGGGTCGCCTGTGCACGACACGTGCACGAGCGCAATATTTCACACGCACGTTTTTCGCGTTTCGCTTGGTAGGAGGGAGACCCGCGATTATTGCTTTGTCGCGCATGTCTCATTGAAAATGAATGGAGGAGAGGCGATGTCGCCTCCCGTGTGTCGAGCCCATTAGTCTCCTCCCTTTCTGGTCAGCTCACGGGTTCCCGGAAGAACGAAAAAATGAATGCAAGTCAACGGGGTTAACGACGTTATTTTCTAATCCGCTTTGCCTCACGCCCTGGATCACACACGTTGTACTGCAATCTAAATGAAGACTAATGATGGGTGTTTCGACCACGCCAGTCACGTACTTTGAGATTTATCAGCTTGTAAAAGTTCGTAGTTAGCATGACTACATTGGCACGTTGCATATATGACCTGACCACACAATCTGCTCTCCCCTAGGGAGGCTGCTACTTACCAAATGGCCAGATTTATGGTGGTTCTTTCCTCCTGTGGGAAGTTTGCTGAACTTACAGCCCTTTTCCCTCTGTTTTTCTCCGTGTCTGGTTCGATGACGTCACTTTGGTGAAGCGCATTTGTAGTCCCGGACTTGTTTTCACACACAACCTAAAATAATGTTTCCCCCCGTTCAAAAATAAGCGCAATCTTGGCATCAAAAAGCTTCTTTAAAATTCACGGACATCATATGTGAAATCCATGGCACGTAACAAGCGGAATTAGAAAATAGCGTTTTTAGCCCCGTCGACTTGCATTCATTTTTCCGTTCTTCCAGGGACCCGTGGTGCGGAAGTAGATGGGTGTGACTTAGGCTCCATATATTTATGCTGAATGTCAAAGGTCAAACAGATGTTAGCAGATGTTACGTCCCCCCCCCCCCAACAGGAAATCCAACCCAGACATTCAGAAGTTCATGGAGCAGCAGGGCTTTGGGCAGGACTTCACCAAACTGGAGTCCTTCTACATTCAAAGGTTTGTTTCTTAGGCCTGATTCACACAGCAGAGTTTTAAAATTGTCAAACAGTATTTGAAACTGTGTGCAGCCACCACCAGCACAGTCGCTTGTCCTCGTTTGGACCAAAACGATCTGACACGTTTAAGAGCTATGACCTATAATTAGAGCCATCCCGACATCCTTTCATGAAGACCAGAGCATTCTTAACACACCACACGTGGCAGAAATATCTGATGATTATTTTTAGAGTCATTACGGTAATGGGGTGGAGGGTTGATGTTGCAAACAAATGAATGACACTTTCTGGTGAAGCACGGTGCTTTTTGAAATTTTATTTTTTTGTATTTACTTGTGTGGCAAGGCGAAGTAACGAGGGCCCGGGAGGGATTCGATCCCCAGACTCCCGGGAGAGAGTCACGCCCGCTAACCAGTCAGCCAAAGGGGCATCCCCTTGGCCAAGTAGCCAGGGCGCATGATCAATCGGGACACTGTGACAGGACGCTCACACTGCCACATCGATGTCCCTTTGGCTGACTGGTTAGCAGGCGTGACTCTCACCCGGGAGTCTGGGGATCGAATCCCGCCCGGGCCCTCGTTACTCCACCTTGCCACATTTGGCGTTGTTGGCAGGATCCATGTAGTACTGTCAAGTAGGTCCATGGATGGGAAGTTTGTGGCACCCTACGCAGGAGCACAAGGACGTGCTTGTGGAAAGAGGGGGGAAGATGTGGCAGTGTGAGCGTCCTGTCACAGCGTCCCGATTGATCGTGCGCCCTGGCTACTTAGCCAAGGGGATTTCCCTTTGGCTGACTGGTTAGCGCGCATGACTCTCACTCGGGAGTCTGGGGATCGAATCCCGCCCGGGCCCTCGTTACTCCACCTTGCCACACTTGCTTCCCTGTCTGTTTACTGTATTGGGAGTCGGGTTGTAGTTGTCATCTTTTTCACCCCCTCCGAGTTTGCAGGTATGTTTAACTGACAAGTTTTGCCGATCTCCCGAAATAGACTATGAACGTGTTATATACTACTTCTGGGAAAAAAATTCCTGCTGAGGGCTACTTTTCCTGTGTGATAGTCTCGCCCCGTTAATGGTCAGGATTTGCAAAAAGAAGTCAACCAAATGGATGACAAATCAAGCGGTGATTTACATTTCTCAAGATGCCTGGGACACTGACCGAATTGCTCCGCTCTCCTGTGGGCTTGCGTGAGTTTACATCCTTCCAGGGAAACCTCAGAGTCTGCTATGAACTTGTTCATCCACGTCTCCGTAATAAAACATCAGGCTGTCAGCGGTCTCGCAGCAGTCAGGTCAGTGCTGAGAGCTCGTCCATTTTGCTGGGGAGAGAGCGGACATTTCCCATAATCACTAAGGGTAGATTTGATTGATATCTCCGTTCCCTCTCTAGAACTTAATGTTCTGCTTAAGGCAGAACCGGGTTTCCATGGAGAGAATGCCAGTATAAGCAGCGCTCACAGCTGATCCCTGCAGGAATTTCCCAGAACCCTCCCAGAAAGCGTTCCGTAGTCAGTAAAAAAAACGAACACCGTTTCCTCTCCTGGAGCTTACGTCCTACTTTGCTGGATCTTCATTTCTCCGTAATTCTGGAGGCAGAACCGACGTTTCCCATGGAGAAGTGTGCTGCAGTGGGAGCTAGCATTGGCTCGGCCCCCTTAAGGGCATAAAAACACACAGAGAAGAAAAAGCAAAGAATAAAAGAGTAACGAAATGAGAGCTGCTGTCACTGGCTCCAGCCCACCTCGTGCTCTTTGTAACCGAACGCGACCTTTCCTTTTTCGTACTTTGGAGTCCATCTTCACAGCAGCAATTCATCGCAAAATAAAGCTACCGGAAATGTAGCACTACAATCGGTCTCAAAACAGGAAGTTAGCATTTTCTCGTGCACAGGTCTGTTGATTGTGTTGCCACCATCGACACATAAATATTGGACAATGGGTTTCCATTGGCTCCAATAACACGGTTTTGAGGACAAATGGGAGGTGGCCACCACCGCCATTTTGACCGTGTCACAGGTTCCGTCAAGCCCAGACAAGAAGAGAGGTGGAGCCGAGGGTGGGGCTGTAAGGCTGGGATCATCAACTGACGACACCCGGTCGAACTAGCTACAAGCTAACCTGAAGCTAACCCAAAGCTAACGCGGAGGTGGGAGCTAAGCTAACGGAGGTAGCAACCTAGCTACAACCGGAGTTAACTGTGCACAACACCAGAGCTTCTGAGTCAGAGATACGCCGGGCTGACCGCTGGGTACAACCGGGTGGAACACAGAGGTCTCTCGAAAGCTCCACAAGCCGGCAGCCGCACAGCAGATAAGCGCCGCTGCGATCTGAGATGCACAGAGCTGCCGCTGGGGAGAACCGGATGGAAAGGTTTCCATCCCAGAGCTCCACAAGCTGGCAGCCCGCGCAGCAGACAGGAACCGCGATCAGACAGAGAAGCGCCGAGCTGCGGGGAGGGGAGAACCGGGTGGAAAACATCGGTCTCCCGAGAGCTCCACAAGCCGATAGTGGGAACCCAGCTCCACCAACATGTTATATTTCAACCCATTTTCAAAAGTGCAGTATTATGTTAAATGCACTGGGTTTTACCCTATTACATTTAAATTTCATAGTTAAACAGTACATGTTAAAATCTAAGCTCAGCTCGGCAGTGACCTAAAATACATAAATATAATTTTACTTACCGAAAAAAAATGAAGTGGAGACTCCTTGGACGCTCTATTAGTGCAATTAATGCCACAGCAAGTCATTTTGTCCAACAATTGCATAAATAATATCCAAAAAGAACGCACAAACGCTACAACTAATGGTGGGGGCTTGGTTGCCACTCTGGACTTTACTCAAAAATAGATTGATTCAGATCCCATGACAGCAGAGGGCACCATTGAGCACACCAGCATATGACCTGCAGCAAGTTCAGTAGTTAAAGTGGGAGTCATGGCATGGGCAGAGACTTATTTCATCCACATGTCCTGTTAGGAAAACATTTCTGAAAGAGGTGTCGCCTGGCAGAGAGCACCCCTAAGCTAGCTTGTTTTGCAGATTTGCTGTTTTAGCTTTAAGAAGAAATTTTCGATTACGAGTGAAACGGTATTTTTTCTTTCCAAAAGACTCCTGGATATTGTCACAACTACCCAGAAGGGCTACATGATCTGGCAGGAAGTCTTCGACAACGGAGTCAAGGTAGGATTTATCGATGGTGCACAGCATGTTTGGCTTTAACTGGAGGAATTTGAGTATCATCTCAAAATTGTGTAGGTGTTCTTATTTGTCATTAAAGGAATAGTTTGAAAAGCTCAGTTATAGTGAAAATTTCTCTGTGTGAAAGAATATTTGAAACTAATGTGACCAGGTACATTTCAAAAAGGGTTTTTAATGTTTTTAATCAATTCAGTTTATTTATTTAGAACCAATCGACACCAAACTCATCTCAGGACGCTGTACTAAATTACAAAGGAGTCTAATTAAAATTGGAATAAAAGTACAGATCTACTTTCAAACTATTCCTTTATCAGCGAGCAAAGGCTATTGCATCTAAGCACAGGAGCATGACCTCTAACAATTGCAGCTGAAGCCTGACACGGTAGTGCACGTGTGGATGGACAATGGGAGTGATAAGGAGATGGCCAAGGTGACGGCAGGAGGATACACCACCATCCTCTCCGCCCCGTGGTACTTAGATTATATTAGCATCGGACAAGACTGGCAGAAGTACTACAAGGTTGAGCCACTCAACTTCAATGGTCAGTTTGTTTTTCTGAAAATTATCGTTTTGTCTTGAATCGGCACATTTGGTGAGAGGTCCCTTTTGATTTTTGGGCCTTTTTTTTTGTTCAACAAGCTTATAAAAGACGCACAGTTTTAACAGTCAGACCGACGTGAAGGGAACACGGGGTAGATCGGTTGGTGTTTGGCTGGATAAGTGCATGGAAGGGCTGTGGTGCAGTTCTAGAGCCTGATAGAGGGAAGGCTGCAAGTTTGAATCCCACTTGCAGCCTATTGGGCCATTCTCATCTGTACCGGGTAGCCCCAGTCGGCCCCAGCCTGGCCCGGTTGATTCCACACATCCTTGCCTTAAGCCCATGTGGGCTGATTCTACCCACCAATCAGAGGCTTGCTCTAATGGAAGGTGTGAATTTGCTGTCAGCAGTGGGTGTGTTGGCCCTGGTCGGCCTGAAGCAGACCCCCTCGAGAAGAGGGCTGAGAATGAGCTTTGGTTGGCCCGGAAAAATACCAGGCCACCCAGATAAGTAAACAACCTACGCTACCTGGCCCGGGCCGACCCGGTACAGATGGGAACGGCCCATTTGTGGATGGAGTAGGCATGTTCTCCCCATGCATGCATGGGGGTTTTCTCCAGATACTCTGGTTTCCTCCCACAGAACAAATTGTGTGTGACTGGTTGTGTGTCCCTGTGATGAATTGGAGACCTGTCCAGGGTGCCCCCCACCTTTCACCCATGACTTCTGGAGGATACCAGCTTCCCACGCCACTACTGAGGATTAAGAAGATGAGACAAAAAGTCCCTGGAGGACTGATCCTGGTCTGGTTGAAACGCAGATGCAGTAAAACCAATCTCTAAGAAAACCAGCCCTTACTGGGGTGCAGAAATGTTTGAGGTTTCCAGTGAAGGACGAGGTTTTACCTTCCATAAAGAAACAAAAGGAGAAAGTCCTCCGAGACTTACTTCCTTCATGTTCCGACATTTGTCAAAAATGTCACAAACACACACTCGTAAATTTCCATCTATGTCCGCCTTTAACTTTTTCTTTCCGTGTGGCTGAGACTGACTCCTCCGTATGTGTGCTGCTGTGTAGCTGAAACCAGACACACTTATCCACGTTTGGAAAGGAAACCAGCAGAGCTACCAGCGGGAGATGGCAAATATAACATCGGCAGGGTATCGCACCCTGCTGTCCTCTCCCTGGTACCTGAACCGTATCGCCTACGGCCAGGATTGGCAGGCCATTTACAAAGCCGACCCACAGGATTTTAAGGGTTTGTGCATCTTTTTTTTTTTTTTTACTCACTGCCCAATTCGTCCAGTCACATTTTATTACTCTTGGGATGCTGCTAATTCCTTTACACTTACCCAGTGCTAGTCATAATTATTGTATCGGTTTAATTTAAATGTGCAAATGAACAAATGTCAAACAAAACTGACAGTTGTCTAAACCTTTTAGTCTGCATTGTGGTGAAAATGGTTTCTGACAAACTGATATTTTCTAAGTCCTTTGTGCTGGAAATGCAAATAAGTCAGAATTCCTTTAGATGGGGACATATTACGCAAAACTCACTTTCTCCCTCCTTTTGTGTTGCCACGTGGAGCTCTACTGCCACTCCAAACATGAATTAAAGGGACTTTACGTAGTTTTGAATTTTTATGCTCGCGTTTGCCCCCTCAGGCCAAAAGCGTAACAGCAGCTTCAATAGTAGGCTCGTGCACAAGGCGCACATGCTGTACGTGCACACTCCTTAACGAAAATGACAGCTGAGAGAGTCCCGTGTGTGTGTGTGTGTGGCCCGGAGGACAGAGGACAGGAGAACGCGCAGCTAATTAAATAATGTGGTTCTGTACCTTTCTCTTCAGCACAGCCGACAAAGGTTTATGATGGGTCAGTCCTCCTGCATGCTCAGATCGTTCCCTTCCCTTGCTTGAAAAATTGTTCCAAAATGAAAGTTGAACCCACATCTTTTTTATCTGTGAATTCAATGCCGTTCGGCGAGTCTCAAATAAAAATTTGGGCATCTTACTGTAAAAAAATATACCATTAATGTAAAAAAGAAACTCTAAATAAACTATGTTCACATCCAGAACCGAACCCCGAACTTCTGCTCAGGAGTCCGACATCTTACTTGGTGAGCTAAAGCACCAGTGACGTCGTTTGTATCTGTAACGTTTATATCCTTGATAACGGCTGAAACAACGTTCAAAGAACGGTTCGGAGGGCGATGCCTGAGTGTAAACGCGCATGAAGCAGCCTGCTCGACCTGAGCATCTCTCTTTTTCTGTGATTTTACAGAAAAACAGGCAATCACAGTAAAAATGCCAGGGCTCATTCTACAGGACCAGGGCATTGCAGGAGAATGTATGAAGAAGACATTTATTATTTCTATACATGTTTTGGCTGTCAGACTTCCATAATGCCCCTTTAAGAACTGTCTGTAAAGGTAGAGCAGGTTGTCCAGTAATCAGAAGGTTGCAGGTTCGATCCCTTGTTATTCATCTTCAATCCTCATCCTCAATGGTGGTGCCCCACCATATCTGGCTGGGCTGCTTCAGATGCATGCCCCCACGCTCTCTCTCTTCCCTCAGCTAACCAAAATCTGCTCATCGTCCCAAGAAAAAAGGCTGAAAACAAGAGGTAGATAGGGCCTTTTGTCCTAGCTCCAACACTATGAGCTCCCACTTGTCTCCATCACTGCAGGTCTTTAAGAGTCGTTTGAAGACTCGTTTGAATCGTTTGGCTTTTATGCAATATGGATTATAAAAATGTTAGTCTTTTATCACATCTGTTTTGTTTAGTCACTCTTTTATGCAGTTTTAATCTGCCTTGTGGTCTCTTGGTTTTTATGTTACGTTCAGAGCCTCGGGCTTCTGTAAAGGCAGTGGAAGGCGCTATAAAAATAAAATTTGATTGACATTTGTTCATTTGCATCTGATGAAGTCCAGTCTCAGTGCTGATAATTCTGACTATGTCGTGCGAGTTGTGTCTTGTTTTGTCATCTGACTCGGATTTGAACTCTTGACTCGGTTCTGACTGCTGTGCGAGTCGGTGTAAGCCTGTTGAATGAAGAGAGGATTTTCACTAGCGAATCAGAACGTTTAATCATACTTTAACATGTCATTCACGTGAACTTCCATCATCCAAATCTTACTGGTTTCTTTAAAAAAAAAAAAACAGGAACTGATGATCAGAAGAAGCTTGTGATTGGTGGAGAAGCTTGTCTGTGGGGAGAGTTCGTGGATGCTACTAATCTGACTCCCAGACTCTGGTAAAGTCACACGAATCCTGTTTGAAGACATGGAAGTTGTAAACATGCATAAGAAAATGTATTTTCCATCTCGATTCGAAGGCCTCGAGCGTGCGCCGTGGCTGAGAGACTGTGGAGCGCCAAAGAAGTCACCGACACCAACGACGCCTTCAACAGGCTGGCTGTGCACCGCTGCCGTTTGGTCGAGTACGTATCAGGACAAGGGTAACGTAGTCATAACCGACACTCGTTAACACTTTCGTCTGTCTGTCTGTGTAAGGCGCGGGATTCCAGCTCAGCCTCTGTACACCAGCTATTGTCCACGAGAGTACAAGGGTATCTGAAAGCAGCCGAGGCCCGGGGGACGGGAAAGGGACGCGAGTCAAAACGTCTGCCTCGCGGTTGCTTTAGAGCTAAACGTGAGAACTCGGATGCCAAGCTGATGCCGATTAAAGCGGGTTTGCACTGATTAAAAAAAAGTCTTTACGGAACTCTAATCTGTTTTTATGACAAAGTGTGATTTTCTGTATTTTTAAAACTGTCAATAAAAATGTTGACATTTTAACTGCATCAGTGGTTTTTGTCCAAGGCGACCGTACGGGAATGTGCTTTTTAATCACAGACATCAGGAGGCTGATTATTTTTGCAGAGTCTGTTTTTGAGGTCACAGCAGACCACCCATTTTCTTCAGCAGCATGTTCTGGTCCTGAGGGTTCATTGCTTCGTAGGCGTCCAACTCCAGTGAGAACGTCGCGCAGCCAGAGGTCACGGTCCGCAGCGCGGTGGAATAGCCCTTTAATGCATGAACACGTGACTTTCAGCAAAATGAACCCAAAAATGAGGAAAATACAGAAGAAACATTTAGATCATCTTACCATCATCTCGGCTAGAGGCACCGTAGCCAGCAGCACCTTGTTGTCATGACGACTCTGGATGTCTGTGACGCTCCCTCGTCTTTGGGCCAAGTCCCCCAACACAAAGCTGAGGTGCTCCTCGTTGAGAGTGACCTCCAGTGACATGACGGGCTCAAGGACCTGTCCTCCTGCCAGCTTCAGAGCCTGGAAAATTGGGAAGACGGGAGCGATTGGTGGGTGACCCGCACCCACGGAAAGCACCGTCCGTGTGGAGACCTCACAGACTGGGACGTTACTCGAGGTGAATTGTAAGCTGGACAGTGTTCTAGCTGCGATACCGGTATTAGTGCGCAAAATGGATGTCATCTCGGAGAGGGTCACCGGACGGTGTGGAGATGTTTAAAACCTGAATTGGCTTCACTGGAGGACTTGAATGATCAGTTACAGACTTCAAGGCAGAGAGGAAAATTATCTCTGCCTGACTCAAACAAAGTCTTGTTATCCGAATCTGACGCCATGGCAGCCTTGTGAATGCCAACAACAAACCCTCATGAAGGAATGCAGACAGATGCTGTGAAAACCCGACCTACCCCCCTGCCTTCGGATTGGTGGACTTCAGCCTGGCGAGGTCATCAACCTGCAGGTGTCAATGTGCTCTGCGCTCCTCCCAAGATCTCCCTCCCACCTGTGGCTACAGTGGCTGAGCGCCATAGGGCTGCTCTCGCTGGGGGAGCAGGATCCCAACCCCCCGCCTTCCTCTCTGTGTCTCATGTTGTGAATTGTTGATGTTCGTGCTTATATGTTTGAGGTGGTTTTTTTTTTGCATAGTAAAGCTACGCCCTGCCGGTGTCGGTACAAGATCTGCTCAGGTGCAAAATTGGCTCGAGGTCCGTCGACTGCCGATGACGTCTAAGTAGTTGATTGGCTGAACATGAACCTTACGGAATTACGCAATCACGTTACGTTGTTATCACGTTACGTTGGTCCAGGCAAATCTTTCTGTTGGAAAGATGGACAACTTTTACAAAGAAATCCATCATTACCTCTTTGAAAATACAATTTTAGCATAGAGCTGCATGTATATTAGGGCTGAACGATTAACTGCATGTGCAATTAAATTGCGATGTGACAAAAGGAGATTTTCTAATCACTAAGGCTGCAATTTGGCAGCGAGTGGTTAGCGCAATGCTAATATACATGGAAAAACCCATAGGAATGCTAATGCTAATATCGCCGATTACATTATTACAAATTATGAATTAGAAACGTGCCAAATTATTACATTTGGAGTCTAATAGAAAGTAAAACTACCATCAATCAAATAAATACAGACAGGTATTTTAGTAAAGCCAGAAAACTTTTAACTCCAGAGTTTTGGCTAGCAGCTATGAGCGTAACTACCGTAAATCCTCTAATACAGGCCCGGGCCTGTATTTGACTCAAGCTCATCAAGCTCCAGGCCTTTATTGGAAGGAGGGCCAGTATTAGAGGCAGGCCTCTATTTCTATTTGAGCAAAATGAACTAATGGTTCGCTGGAGTTTTTGACAATTAAAATTGCGCCCACATTTTCAAAGTTAAACACATTTCTTTTAACAACGGTAGTTTCTGCTTCAGCCCTCTCCCCCCTCCCCCTGCACAGCAGCCGCAAACTCACTGATGCGCCTGCAGCCTCTCGGAGTTCCTGCTGCTCTAAACATTAAAATAATTATTTCATTTTCTGTTCCTCACTTCTGATTACCTTCAATGGTGTCTGTTTGTTGCAACCACCAGGTACAAAAACTAACTTGTTTTTATTTGACTATTTTTCTGTCCTGCCTGTTTATTATCTTCCTGCATCTCCTCTCAATCCTAAAGAAAAACTGCTACCTGGGTTCATATATATTCACCTTATGAGTTACCTTTGAACTGCAGTTCTAAAAGATCTACCGACCGCAAAAACGGTGGAGTGCTCGCTGCTTGGCGGCCGTATCAGTGATCAGTGCGTCGGAGGACAAGGTGATGCGCGCAGCGCCCCGCTCCACAGCATGCAGCGAAACGCATCAGGCGCAAACAAAAGACAGAAAACATTAAAGGAAATGAACTGACATGAACGATCGCGTGTTAAATTAGTTTTTGAGGTGGCGACACCTGATTGTTACTGTGGCCGTGCTCAGGAGGCAGATCTACCGACCGCTCCACAGCGGAGCGCTCCCTGCTTGGCGGCTGCATCAGTGATCTGTGCGTCAGAGGACAAGTTGATGCGCCCCGCTCCACAGCAGCGATACACATCAGGCACAAATAAAAGACAGAAAGCATTAAAGGAAATGAACCGACATGAACGATCGCGTGTCAGTACCTACGGTCTGGCACAGCACGTTGCCCCCCCACCCCCCCCCGAGCGCAGGAGCTTGTCACCTGCTGATAGCAGGCTGCTGTCTTTTCCGAGGGCTGCATCTTGCCGGTCATTATCACGTGACAGCGACTAGTCGACGACAGGCATAAAAAGTCACTATAGTGAAGTCGACTAGTTCATACACCCCCTACTGCTGCTCTCCAGAGTGTTCTGCAGCATAATCAGCACATTCTCTTTGAACTTGATAGTGTAATGACCTAGCTGGGGTTGTAAACCAGGTGCATTCTGGGTATTGTGTTATATGTGTTTCCTATCATTCTGCTAGTTCCTATGTGCTGATTTGCGTGTTGTGTGAGTGTTATGTAAGCCACAGGGAAGGTGATGTGTGTTCTGTGGAGCGGGTTGAATTAGCATGGTTAACTGACACCGTGACTCTGTGTGGTGGGAGCGTGATAGAGGATCGTGTCTGTAGCGTTACAAAGCGTTGAAGAAAAAGCCTAATAAAGGTCTGCGTGAACCTCTACTGCCTCCTGCTGGTTGATTTGGGGACTATAACACTGCCGCTGGGACGCTCATACTTGCTTGTTACCACATTCCACCCGGCCACAATAAGAGACCGGCCATTATCTCGATAAAGGTTAAGGCGTGGGGAACCCGGTCCTCGAGGGCCAGTATCCTGCACGTCTTTGCGCCAACATTTCTGATTCAGTGGTTAAGTCACCTGTGCAGCAGCTCATCAGGCTCTGCAGAAGCCTGTTAATCACCTGCTGATTGGAATCAGGTGTGCTGAAGCGGGGTTAAAACTAAAACATGCTGGATACCGGCCCTTGATGGACCAGGGTTCCCCACCCTTGGTTTAACCGGTCTACCTTCAACATGCAGCGTGACACGCAGGCAGACACCATGGCAGCAGATGTTCCTGGTTCCATGGCAACCTTGCTGATCAGAGTGGACACGCCCTGTACAGGACAACCCATCAGGGGGCCTGAAGGAGGAAGAGAATAAAAACGAATGATCCCAGTGAGAGAATATCCCCACCTGATCCACATTCAGGCATTGTTCACAGCAACAGTTGATGCTAACAGGAAAGACCGATGAAAATACCAGGAAATAGTTTAAACCTGGCAAAGGCAGCAGGCGATGTGCATTCCCTCAAAAAAAAGCTTTTAACCGGTTTTCTATTGGAACAAGACGACCTTCGTGGTTTGCTGTGGGTCAGAAAAGCAAGTCCAGACACTCTGACCCCGGGTTTCCACCGGAACCGTCAGCAGCACGTTACTGCAGCAGCACGTCTTGCTCGCGTAAACTGCTGCTTGGCCCTTCCCACGAGACGCGAAGCAGCCGGGGAGCAGCTGTCACCGACAGCATGAAGTCACACGAGTGACTTTGTCAGTAAACACAACAACAAGCAGGAGAAAACTACAACATGGTTTGTGTTTTATGTTCTGTCCGTTTTATAATCGCCAATACGGACCTGAAAAACAAAGGAGACCGCTAGCTAGGTGATAACTTCTCACGGGGCCGCACAGTTAGTAACTTTCTTTAAAAGTAAAGCGACCGGAAGGCAGTACGTTTCTTTATTCTGAAAATCTCAGGAGCTTCTCTCCATTTCCGCGTCCGATTTCCTGTCTTTCCTTCCCCAAAAATGTCGAACTTGACTCGTTTCAGAGGCGTCGCGCGTAGAAAATAGAACCGGCGCATGAAGGCCGCAACATGCTGCTCCTGAGACGCGGCCGACTCGTGCTGCTGACGGCTCCTGTGGAAAAGGTTCTGTTGACCACAGCGGTTCCTATCAGCAGCTATGACGTGCTGCTGACGGCTCCTGTGGAAAGCCGGGGTGAGGCTGAACATAATTCTGTCCCAAACCCTCGAGTCAAGAACAGCAGCACTGCACAAAGACTACTTTACTTCTAGTTTCTGCTACAAAATGGGAAATTCCAAATTTGTTTATTTCTGCTTCATATTTTAAAATACTGTTTATTTCTGCCTTCTGAACCGGAACGTACCTGCTGCCACCATGTTAGCTGTAATAAATGACCAGAGTTCAGATCGCTCTTACCCTGGAGGTATGAGCTTTGCACTCCGTTCTCTACAGCCTCTTTCGTTTCCAGCATCAGCTGGGCGTTTAGATCTTCTGTAAAGGTGACTTCACATGAGTCTGCAGGTCTGACGGTCAGCTGCACAGTCACAATGTTCCGTCTTTCCCCCACAGTCCGGTCCAGCGTGTCTGCAGCACACACCAGGTGTTAGTATCTAATGGGTCATTAGTGAAAACCGGAGCTTTAAGTGTTTGCACCTGCAGCCGACGCCTCGTGCAGAATCGTCTCTCTGTAGGCCACCTGCAGCGGCCCGAGGTGAGTCTCGATGCCGTACTCTCTTCTGATTCGGTCGTGGAGGATCTCGATGTGCAGCTCACCCATCCCACACAGGATGGTCTGAGGATGGAGAGGGCGGGGCTTTAGAGGCGGGTAGGCTGATGAAACAAAACTAATCCAAAGGTGGTTTTACCTGACCAGAGTCAGGGTCGACTCGGACTTTCAGACTGGGGTCTTCCCTCTGGAGGCAGCTGAGGGCGTTCTCGAGATCTTTCAGAAAAGAAGAAGAAATATTACCTGACTGCAACAACGTCCAACTGCAGCTTTAATCAGCAGACTGACCTGCCTGTTTGGCCAAAGTGGGCGGTTCTATAGTGCAGAAGAAAACCGGATCAGGGACTTCCACTCCAGAGAGGACGATGTTTGCCTGTTCTCGATTCTTCTCCGTCCCGCTGTCGTTCCGGGCGCGGCGCGCTGCAGCTGCTGCCGAGGCCTTGGACGAAACGATGGTGTCTCCTGTGATCGTCTGGTGGGAAAACACGAATCACCTTCAACAAGATAAAGTAATTCACACTAAATCAGAAAAAATTAAAGGTCCAGTTTTACCTGCTTCAGTCCTACGGTCAGGGCGATGTTCCCTGCACCCATGGAGGGGATTTCTACGTGCTCATCAGCAAACGGTACCAGCAGTCTGCTCATCCTCTCACTGAAAACAAAAACTCAGTTAGATCCGGTCAGCGGCTGGTCCGCTCCACGCAGCTGGGATTAAAAACACCTACGTGCTGTTTCTGTTGATGTTGTAGACGGCCGTTTGTGGCTTCAGAGTACCGGAGTAGATCCGGAGGAAAACCAGAGGGCCGCGCAGTTTGTCGTGGAGAACCTTGAAGGCCAACGCACACAAGTCGTCTTTGTACCACCGCCTGTCGGAACGATAATCGGGGTTTATGTTTTAGGGAGAAATGTGTCCTAGAGCACAGATAAAAACAACAAACACCTCAATTTCACCCATTTAAAGTGAGAACAGAGACATTTAATTCATTATCTTCCCTCAGTTTAGTGTTTGAGCCAACAATTTATCTAAATTACGTCAGAGTAAAACTAATAGGACAAAAATAATAATGAAAATTACTTTGAAAGCTAAAAATGTCCAACTTATTCATGTTTTATTACATTCTTTGTCAGTTAAAGGGACTTTACGGAGTTTTGAATTTTTATGCTCGTGATTGCCCCCTCAGGCCAGAAGTGTAACGGCAGCTTCAATAGAAGGCTCGTGCACGAGGCGCGCATGCTGTACGTGCACGCTCTTTAACGAAAACAACAGTTGAGACAGTCCCGTGTGTGTGTGTGTGTGTGTGTGTGTGTGTGTGTGTGTGTGTGTGTGTGTGTGTGTGTGTGTGTGTGTGTGTGTGTGTGTGTGTGTGTGTGTGTGTGTGTGTGTGTGGCCCGGAGGACAGGATAACGCGCAGCTAATTAATTAAATAATTTGGTTCTGTACCTTTCTCTTCAGCACAGCCGACAAAGGTTTATGATGGGTCAGTCCTCCTGCATGCTCAGATCATTCCCTTCCCTTGCTTGAAAAATTGTTCCAAAATGAAAGTTGAACCCACATCTTTTTTATCTGTGAATTCAATGCCGTTCTGCGAGTCTCAAATAAAAATTGGGCGTCTTACTGTAAAAAAATATACCATTAATGTAAAAAATAAACTCTAAATAAACTATGTTCACACCCAGAATCGAACCCAGGTCTTCTGCACAAGAGTCCGACGTCTTACTAGGTGAGCTAAAGCACCAGTGACGTCCTTTGTATCTGTAACATTTATATCCTTGATGACAGCTGAAACAACGTTCAAAGAACGGTTTGGAGTGAAAATGGCTATTTTGTTGCTAATTTGCAGGAAATATCTAGAAGAAAGTTCTACAGAAAGTAGCTAAGGGTCCTCAGAAATGTAGCTAGGTTCATCACTAGGCGTTAGGAACAGCGACAAAGTGGCACTACCTCTCTCTCTGCTGCTAAAGCTACGGATAGCAAATGCTACGGGCGATGCCTGAGCGTGAACGCGCATGAAGCAGCCTGCTCGACCCGAGCATCTCTCTTTTTCTGTGATTTTACAGAAAAACAGGCAATCGCTGTAAAAATGCCAGGGCTCATTCTACAGGACCAGGGCATTGCAGGAGAATGTATGAAGAAGAAATGTATTATTTCTATACATGTTTTGGCTGTCAAACTTCCATAATGTCCCTTTAACAAGCTTAAATTTTACAACAAAAACTGCATTAGGAGAAAAGTCTTGATTTTTACTGTCAGCGCCACGAAAACACATTAAAAGATGTTTCTCATGATCGATACCGATGTTTAAAAAGTCATTTGAATGAGAAAGTTCCTCATAATCACGAATAAGGTCATAACAGTGGAATGTGGATATATGCTGATGAAGGAGTCGCGACAGCAAATACAGGAAAACCCGCCAAACAACTCAACAACTCTAGCTCTTTGCTAATACCCCCCGTTGCCTAGGCGACAGACTGACAGCTTTTAACTCTGAGGGAGGTTGCGTTTAAGTGTGACAGGCGCATAAAACCAAAAACACACCCAAACATTTCACACAAAGAGAGCAGGTCTTATGTAAGACTGGGAGACAGGTTGATCATTTAATAATGCAACAAGATTTTACTGTTTTTAAATGTGAAAAAGCACAAACAGGAAGTTCAGTTTACTTTGACAGCTGCACATCAACAACAAAGTGGATTTGCAAATGTGCGTGGACAAGAAGTGCTCATGAGGACAGCCTGACTGAAGTGTGTGGAAATGTGTTCCTGACTAATTACCGATTGTTAAAACGGCAGCAAGAGGCTCCCTCTGACTCCATCTTCTCCCTTTGTTTTGTTCTGGATGAGATTCAAACATCCCATAAGAAGATGTTGGTGTTTTAATGATTTTAGCTTTTTCATTAGCACGAAAAAGGCGGACTAGGCCGTTTTGGCTCGTGAAACCCATGTTCTCGCTGTGTGTTTATCTTTTTAACACCTTGATCTAACAGCTGAAATGTCTCCTCAGCATTCATTAGTGTCTACAGGAGCGGTCCATCACTAAATTAAACATGTCAGCTGTGTTCATGATCTAAAACATGCAGGAAATGTGCTGGAAGCAGACTGCAGCGCAGGCATGTCAGCTCCATCTTTGTCCAAGTCCAACAGACCGGACCGGCACTCTTGAGAGCGATCAGTTAGGGTCGGTGCGAAGTTAAGGAGTTTACTCACACCAAGTCATGGTGGCGTTCGTTGGGAGCAGGCAGGTACGCGGTGATGGCGTCTAAAAGAGGCTGCACACCTTTGTTTCTCAGAGAGCTCCCACACAGCACTGGGACACCTTTACGGGTCAGCGTCACCCTCCTCACGGCCTCCTGCAGCTGAATACATCAGCACCATTAGCAACGTCACAGAGTTAAAATCACACACCAACCAATAAAATACCTACTTTTATGGAAGGAACAGAATCAAAGTTGTCACTAAACGTCGTCAGCAGCAGCTCCGCGAACTCATCGTCCAGATCAGCTACCTACGGGTCGTAAAGGCAGCACGACATGACCACTTTAGAAAATAAAAGCCGACTGTCGCTGCTGGTTTTTGGATGGTGTACCTGCTCAACCAGAGCTGCCCTGGCTTCACTAACTGCTTGCAGGAGCTCCTGATCATCAACCTCAGTGAGAACTTTGCTTTCAAAAACTCGCCCGTCCTCTCCAGGAGACGGCTGCCACACCAGCTTCTGATTGGTCAAAAGGTCGACCACACCAGTGAAGTTCCTACCACTGCCAATGGGAATCTGTAGCAGGATTCAGAAAACGATGCATTCACCAGATGTTCATCAACCGAAACTTCTAGGATAGAAGTAGGAAAGCATCTGCAATAGTTTCCAGTTAGAGACATGTAATGTCTTCATGTTGCAGGTTCTAGATTCAACACCAGAAAAGCCTTAAATAACAGTAGAACTGCAATCAATCATCATGAGAGGAAAGCTTTCAAGTGCTGTTGATTTTAGTCTTTTAATTTATTTATGGAGTCGATCAGTCTAAAATAAATAGTTGGGGAAAAATGTATTCGCAGTATTTCTTAGGGATGTAGGAGGACATGGATGTACCCAAATATCGCAATACTTTTTGTCATGATACAGAATCAAGATTTTAAAGCAGCACATTTATTTTTATTGAGAATTTACATGTAAACATGGAGTATTTTTGTGTGCTGCAGTTGAAACCTCCGCCTGCTAGGTGGCAGCAGATCTTACTGCCTTCTGTCTCATGGAACAAGACCTTGCCAGAACACTGGGTGTGTCTTGTGGGCCATTCCCATCTGTACCGGGTCGGCCCGGGCCGGGTAGCGTAGGTTGTTTACTTATCTGGGTGGCCTGGTATTTTTCCGGGCCAACCAAAGCTCATTCTCAGCCCTCTTCTCGAGGGGGTCTGTTTCAGGCCGACCAGGGCCAACACACCCACTGCTGACAGCAAATTCACACCTTCCATTAGAGCAAGCCTCTGATTGGTGGGTAGAATCAGCCCACATGGGCTTAAGACAAAGATGTGTGGAATCAACCGGGCCAGGCTGGGGCCGACTGGGGCTACCCGGCCCGGGCCGACCCGGTACAGATGGGAATGACCCATTGGAAATGTCTGACCTGAGTTTTCCAAATAAACAGTCTGAAAATTGCCAATTTTTAAATATTAACATTGTACACACACACACACACACACACACACACACACACACACACACACACACACACACACACACACGTATGTGTGTGTGTGTACATACGTGTGTGTGTGTGTGTGTGCAGCACAGCATAACATGAGACCAATAATGGTGAAACGGCGTTTTTAGCTCTGCTGCTAGAGAATGAGGTGATGCTTTGAGCTGTAATTATGGGAGATAAGGGGGACATTACGTGCAATATATTTTTTCGCCTCAAGATGGCGCTCCTGAGAAAATGCTCCGGGTTTCTGCTTTAAGGTATTTTTTTGTTTAAAACAAAAACAGGTTTTTAAAGAGCCTACCTGAAGGAGGACGGGGTTGGCTTTCAGTTTCAGTCTTATGCTCTCAAGGGAAAAATTCAGGCTGTGAACACACATTTTAAAATGAGTTAAGGGTCATGCTTTGTACATTTAGAGACAACCAGCTGTGGAGGTGCTCACTCAGCTGCAGGTTTGTCCATCTTATTCAGGAAACAAACACAGGGAACGTGGTGCTTCTCTGCCTGCCTCCACACAGTCAGAGTTTGAGCCTCAACGCCGGCAGATGCATCCAACACGGCGACTGCGCCGTCAAGAACACGAAGCGCCCGCTCCACCTCCAGTGTGAAGTCAACATGTCCTGCAATCACACCCACAGTCCAGCGGCCGCTCCTTCCCACTTCCTCTGGAATATTTAAAGTTCTGGCAGAGTGCGTTTACCTGGGGTGTCTATGAGGTTTATCCGATGGTTCTTCCAATCAAACGTGACGGCTGCTGATTGGATGGTGATGCCGCGTTCTCTTTCTTGTGCCATAAAATCTGTGACGGTGTCACCGTCGTCTACATCTAATGCAAATCAACAGACACAGGCAAACAAGTCAAATATGAGCGATGAAGAATGAACTACGTGTGTCTGCATGTGACGCCCACCTCCTAACGCTCTTGTATAACCAGAGTAATAAAGCATCCTCTCTGTGGTGGTGGTCTTCCCCGCATCAATGTGAGCCATGATTCCAATGTTCCTGATCCTACAGAAACACGAGTCAGCTGTTAAAATGAGAATGTTGTGAAAGTAGTTCCCACCAAATGGATTTCTCTCAGCTTTTTTTCCACATTTAAATCCAAACTAAAGGCTTTTTACCTCTTTAAAGAGCAAGTCACCCTAAATCTTTTTTTCTTTTCTGATAAACTAGATAAATGCGTGTCTAATCGTGCTGCAGACACGTGTAGTCAATAGTTTTGCACTTTAGTGCGTTTTAGTTAAAATTTAAATTTTCTGCCTCATCAGTCAGCGTTGTGCCGTTGTCAGGTAAAAACTCTGCTCTGCAGTTGAATTTAAATCGGCCATCGCTATTGGCTAAGAGGCAGAGCCCTGCACTGAAGCCCTAGGCCCTCGGGTCGGCCCGGCCCGACGGCCCTTGGGCCGGGCTTCGGGCCAACGACTGTGTAATTACCTCGGACATGGGCCGGGCCGGGCGCCTTTATTTTTATTCGAAATCATTAAAAAAATTAAAACACTTAAACGCAGCAGTAGAGCCCTGTGCGGGACTGTTTTCTTCATCCCGCTCCGCTCCCGCTGAATTTCTGACCATTACAGCCTGCAGCCTGCAGCGTGCATGTCTACTCCCGCCCGCACCTGCAGCGTGCATGTCTACTCCCGCCCGCAACCGCAAAACTCGGAGAAATTATTACCTCACAATAAAAGAGATGTATTGAGTTTGCGTCCTCAACATGTCATTTTATAGGTTATCCGCTTTCACAGCAGCGCTGCGCTCCGTTTCAATCAGGCTGTCCAGCAGGATTTCCCCTCGTAGCGATATTTTCTCTAACTCTGATTGCTTCATGCTATAGATCGTTGGAAAGCTGCTTTTATGTACTTTTAGGAACCGTTGGAATTATTTGAATCTGATCAACCATTCAAAAGTTATAAAACGGAGCATTTTGGATGACAAACTTGCACGTCTCTGAATCTGTGTTGTGATTCGTTGTGCTCAAGACAGGAAATCCCGGTGGCTACCGTAATGTATTGTATATGCACGGAAAGCCCCATTTTTAATCTTTTCAGCACTTTTGGAATTTTAATGATATCTTGAACTAGAGCAGGGATCGGCAACCCGCGGCTCTTCCATCCATCTGCCGATGTGCTTGTAAAATAATGAATGGATATTTAAATAAAATGCTTTATATTTTACTGAATTAATTTCATATCTGTAAGTCAATTCTATGTAAAGATTGTCTGCGTAAACCTGAACAGTTCCAACCCAGTCTTACTGTGAGACCGTGTTGGGTCACGCTTGTGCGTAATCATATGCGCTCATGAGCTGAAGAGGATGTGAGATTCTGGGATTCTCCTCAGACGGCTCCTGGATGTGTCGCACATTGGAGACAGGAACAAGCGCTATTCAGCCAAAGTTTCATAATCAGGGAACATTTTCTAAGTGACAAGTCTCTCTGAGAGACAGGGTTTGGAAAACACTCGCTTCAGTGGGAAGCTTCCCGCATGCGCTTCTGCGACGCTCGGATCCTGCACATCTTTTAACACATTGGTCAGGATTGACGCACTTTGTTTTCATTTAGTTGGTTAAAAAAAGTCGGGCTTGGGCTCGGGCCGGGCCAGAGAATCCTGAAAACCTTTTCGGGCCGGGTCGGGCTGGGGCTCCACCCCCTCGGGCCGGGCCGGACACGGGCTCAGATTTTAGGCCCGTGCAGGGCTCTACTAAGAGGTCCCCAGACCCCACCAGGCAGCCACCGGGATTGGTCAGGCAGACGCCAAAGATCTTAAACCCCCTGACCCGGGAGCCACGACCCAGGCAGACCAAGGCACCACACTCCACACCAGGTGTGGCAGGAGGAGGGTAGACGAAGATCTATATCATCAAAAGAAGTTCCAGGAGAGGGGAGGAGTCAAAGGCCCCACCTGACATATACAGTCATACACAAACACACTCACACACTCCCTCCCTCATGCTCACACATACACATACAACCAAAGACTTACAAAAATGCACGCCGGACACCCACTCATGCTCCCCATACACACCCTATTCACTCTGGTCCTGGTACTGCTGCACATGGGGTACAACCATCACCGGTTATCAGAGTCTGATCCTTTCTGCTGGGGTGCTGATGAGCAGGCTCCCCCGCCCAACGCTGAGCACAGCAACCCACCACCCAAGACCCCAACCAGACGGCCAGATCTCCCTCCTAGCCTCCAGCCCCAGGAAGCCTAGCAACAACAGAGGTGTGCTAAGACCCCTAGTCTCCCTCCGCCTGCTCCAATATGGTGTTAGTGAGTGTTGATGAGGTGTATGCCATGGCTGTGGTGAGCGGGCAGTGCGGGCATCATCTGGCCTGCGCCAGCTGATGCCACCTTACCACCCCACTTGCACCCACAGCCCTCTGTGTCTAAGTGCAGTTTAAAAAATTGGAAGTGAGCACCGGCACTCGGGATGAGGCTGAGAAATCCCCCCTGCCGAATGCTGTTGCAACAGCCCCCCAGACCCTCCACCCCCTCACCCACATCATCTCGCAGGACAATATAAATGGTCCCCCGTCATCGCTATGTGATGGAACCGATAAAATGAGCCCAGAGAGATTGATTTGAAGTGGAAGCAGCTAAACCAAGTGTAATATGATCTAACAAAAGATTTCTATATTGGTTCATGCAGAGAGTTTCTCTATTTTTCCAATTCAAGAGGATAGTTTTCTTAGCAATGCACATGGCAGTCAGAACCACGTGAACCAAAGATGTTTCAATCAGGACATCATCCAGGTTGAAGAGAGGGGGGCGGTTGGGATATGACATTTCAGACACTTTGTGGGCTACATGGTGGCGCAGTGGTTAGCACTGTTGCCTCGCAGCACGAAGGTTGCAGGTTCGAAACCCCAAGCATGCTTGGGTTTCCTCCGGGTACTCCGGTTTCCCCCACAGATCACATAAAAGCGTCTGCTAAATAAATAAACATAAACATTCAAGTCCTACAAAAAAGTAACACCCGAAGAAAACAGTCAAGGATCAAATACTTTGTCACAGCTGTTGTAGTAATCTAGTTTCCTACTGTTATAACTTACTTGGATACATCAGGGTTGACCACGGTTCGCACCGATTTGACATCATCTGCAAGAGTGAGCAGAAAGTTGAGATATAGTGATGCAACACATTATTTCCTTGATGAAAGAACCACATCCAGTCATGTTGGTCTCTATTATTTAACTTTAGTGACAAATAAACTTTTAATACACGATTATGTATATATATATATATATATATATATATATATGTGTGTGTGTGTGTGTGTGTGTGTTCATATTTGACACATACCTTGACGAAAGTCATAGTGTCTCCACCTGCAGCTGCAGCTCTGATGTCCAGCAGTTAATAAATGCCGTCCCTGTAGACAGAATACTGTCAATCACACAACCAGTCTATGGTAGCATGCATTCAAATAAATAAAATACATAAAACAGCTTACCCAAACAATTCTGTAGACCGTCTGAAAGGCTCTGACAGACATTTCTACTGTTATAAAAGCTCCTTTACGTCACACACCAGCTGCATTTGAATGAAGAAATGTCTCATTGGTTACCAAACAACTAAAATATTGAACGGCACTTTGAATTTTTAAAAGTTACAATATCCTTATGAACAGAAACATTCTTGAAACCCAGTCAAAAGTCACGCTTACAGCTACTACCACAAAATACATCCTCTGGATCCTTTAGCCTATGACATTTATAGTTCCGCATGCAAACAAAAATGTAATTAATTTATATTCGCGAGTTTAAAATCCCCATAAGCACGTACGTAAATTTACAATATTTCTATGAATACTTAATAATGAAAAACTACCACTTATTTTAAAAACCGCCTTGGTCAGTTATCGCTTTTTTGTTTCAGCGGACCGGATAATGACGGCGGAAAAAACTGTTGCAATTTGATGACGCACTTCCTCTAAGTATCGGCTCGGGGAAAACAACATCAGAGAAGCCCCAGCCAGAAGCATAAAACACCAAATAAGTTGTGTTCTCGTCATCTTGAACCAACTACACCGTATTTGCTGTTAAGCGTAACACCTTGAACACAAAATGGTGAGAAAAATAATCATTTAAAATGTACGTTGTAGCTTCTGTGAGCTGTTTAGCATGCTAGCAGAATTAGCTTGGGTCCGCATGTGTTGAGTCCATCTGCTAGTCTGACTTTATTCCGTTTCCTAACACAATTAGCTCAGTTTAATATAAAATAAATGTGTGAGTATTTATGCTACATTGTTGGTTATGTCAAATTAACTATGATGTTCAAGTGACCTTTGACTGCCCTGTCAGGAGTGTTCCTCATCTAAATACATCGAGTAATTGTATTTAGAAAAGTTACGTTAAATTAGATGGGATAAAATAATGTATTTGATGAAGATATCAAATATAAAGCAGAGTGTATTTGTTTAAAGGTCAAAAACTCAAATCTAGCTCCCCCGTATGTCTATATTATTGTTTTGTAGCCTCAGAACGAGCACATTGAGTTGCACCGCAAGCGGCATGGCTATCGCCTGGACCACCACGAGAAGAAAAGGAAGAAGGAGAGCCGAGAAGCTCATGAACGCTCCCACAAAGCCAGGAAGATGATTGGTCTGAAAGCCAAACTGTACCACAAACAAAGATATGCTGAGAAGATCCAGATGAAGAAGACGTGAGTCTGGCGGCATATGAATGGCTTCAGCGTTACCTGTCATATACGCTTGTAAATAAACTTGATGTGTTTGTTTTCAGCATCAAAATGCACGAACAGAGGAACACCAAGCAGAAGAATGACGACAAAACACCTAAAGGTGCAGTTCCAGCTTACCTGTTGGACAGAGAGGGACAGTCTCGTGCAAAGGTTCTCTCCAACATGATCAAACAGAAGCGAAAAGAGAAGGCTGTAAGTAAAAGCTGGCTGTCAGTGACGTTCCTCAGTGAAATAATATCTTTCAGTTTCTTGATAGAGGGTTTGAAATGATTATAACTGTACTGTGTAAACAAACATCTTTATTTCTGTGTAGGGTAAGTGGGAGGTGCCTCTGCCAAAGGTTCGTGCTCAAGGAGAGACAGAGGTGCTTAAAGTTATCAAAACCGGAAAGAGACAAAAGAAGGCCTGGAAGAGGATGGTCACAAAAGTTTGCTTTGTCGGTGACGGTTTCACACGAAAACCCCCAAAGTATGAACGTTTCATCAGACCTATGGTAGGATCACTGTGTGGCTCAAGTCCTGAACCATTTACAGCCCTGTTTCTCATGGTTTTTATGTCAAATTTAATTGTCGTATATTGCTGTAAACTCTGTGCCCAATTGTTAAATGACCATGTTGTTATTTTTAGGGATTACGTTTTAAGAAGGCTCATGTAACACATCCAGAATTGAAAGCAACATTCTGCCTCCCCATCCTCGGGGTGAAGAAGAATCCTTCCTCCCCCCTCTACACCTCTCTGGGAGTCATCACAAAGGGAACAGTGATAGAGGTCAACGTCAGTGAGCTGGGCCTGGTAACACAAGGTGGAAAAGTTATCTGGGGTGAGCTCTTTTTTTTTTTGTTCAGTGTCATTATGACATCTATTAGACATCGTTTAAACCTTTGTTTTTAAAAAGCCTGTAAAATCTAAATTAATCTTTTATGTGCTTCTCAGGTAAATACGCCCAGGTGACAAATAACCCAGAAAATGACGGCTGTATAAACGCAGTTCTGTTGGTATAAGACTCTCCACCTGGCTGCTGACTGTTCAGATCTTCCATTAAATCTCAGATACAACAATCAGCAGACTTATGTTCACAAGACTGGAAGACCTCAGAAGAGGTGGTTGGAGGTATTTTTACAACAAAAAAGGACACAGCTACAGGAAAGGAAATAATTGTTTGATACAAATAAACTTGGAATGAAAGCAAATGTTTTCCAGACTTATTTTACTTGCAAACATTTTCTGAGATTGATGCAGAAATAATAAAATCACATCAGGGTGATATTAACTAGTCGTTAATCTGAATTAAATTGGTTAATCAGAAGGTTTTATTGCCATTTGTGCAAGAGATTGCTGTGGTAGTTGGTGCAGAAAGAGATTGAAAATAAGAGATAAACAAATACAAATTACAGAATTGATTATAATTTGTTTGAATGTAGTGCTGATTTGTAGAGCTGCATAAAGAATAGGTAACTTTTCATTAGGTGCTCTTCTAAATTGTTACATGAATAGGCCTTGGATTAAAGTTACTTATTTTCAGTTCCTTCTATGTTTTTATTTAAAAATTGACTTAAAGAGCAAGTCACCCCCTACCAAAGTCTTACTCCACTCCCACTTCCTGTTTGAAAAATGCAACAAATGCTGTTGCCTGGCAGACCGTGCCGCTAACAAATACACAGGCTCATAACGACATTGTGACATCATATTGTACCAGCTAACATTCTAGAGTACCTCTTAGCCAATAGCAATGGCAGACTTATATTCAACTGCAGTGCAGTTTTTACCCGACGACACAACACCATCAGTTTTAGGCAGAAAATGTTAACTAAAACGCGGCTGCGGCCTTTCTGCGTGGAGCTGCGTGTTCTCCCCATGCCTGCGTGGGTTTCCTCCGGTTTCCCCCACAGATCACAACATGCCCTATAGGTTATAAATTATAAGTCACTTTGGATAAAAGCGTCTGCTAAATGAATAAACAAACAAACAAAGTGCTAAACTATTGACTACACGTGTCTGCAGCACGATTAGACATGCATTTATATAATTTATAAGAAAAAAAGTTGATTTGGACATTAATTTTCAGTCAGTATAAACCCTATGATCTACATTAAAACACTTGTTTTTATGAAGTTTAATCTCTGACACAGTTACACTATTGCACAGTTATCTTCCAAACTGGCCTAAACCAAACAGAAACCCAGAATTATAAGAGACATTTTCAGTTTCCTGCAACTTGTGCATTAAGCAGAGAAATACACGTCCAGAAAACACATTTATTGTTGACTTATCCGACGTTTACAGTCAGAGCTTGATAGTGTCAGCAACAGCAGCGAAGTTTCACAGACAGATTCCATTTCAGAGCTTTCAGAACCCAGCAGAGAAGTTCTTTTGTACTTTAAACTGTTTTTGAGACATGACATTTAGCTGGAAATGTGATTTAATGTGTTAAAACCAAAGTATTCAATCAAAACTTCTGATGCCAGAGTTGAATCCTGAGTTCTTGCAGCCAGTTCTGTTAAATGAACCCATGAATGAATCCAGCCAGCTAGAACCATACATTTACATCAGAAAATATATTTTACTCAGAATTTGCAGATCATATGAACAAAAAACAAAAACAAAGCTAATTTGTTTTTAAAAGCCGGGGTTAGGGTCCCCTCTGCTGCTTCGACCACCCACAGCAGCTAACTGACGGAAGCACGTAGATGTTTTATAAAACGATTAAAAAGTTGAGATTAAGAATTAAGGCAGTTGTTTTCAGTAGTTGATGTTAAAGAAAAATGAATGAAAAGAGCAAGTTCCCCTACAGAAAGTCACCCTTATTCACCAAGGTTTAAGACAGCGACCTTAAACTCTGGTGAGATAAAAGCAGGTTAATGGTCTACAAAAGGATTTCATTCCCATTGCTTTAATATTTTATTCAGCTGGCGCTGAGCTCTTCAGCCCGCTCAGAGAGTGTAAGTGAGACACAACGTCAGAGAAGGCCTCCTGATTTTATCTCAACGACTTTGAAGTCACACAGAAACCGCCAGAGGCCTCTTCTGTCGGCTCCGTTTTCTTGTTTTTAGTCGTTTGGCTGAAAGAGTTACTTCTTTTTTAAAAAGTGCACGTAGTGACAAACTGTCCATCAGATGCTGGCGTTATGTGTAGTAGTCCAGTTTGCTCTCTATTGTCTTGCAGCCTTTGACGGAGAACACTCGCTCAGATTTAGGGAAGTAGACTAAATCTCTGGCCACCTTGTCGGCCACGTCTCGGTCCGGCTCCAGTCGTCTGGCTTTCATCTCGGCCATGGCGCACTGGACGACGTGGAGGTATTCCAGAGGCAGAAACGGCACAAAGAAGTCGATCAGGCTCTTGTCTATCAGATTGGTACGAAAAAAGCCACCTGAAACAAACAAATTCAGCTGTAAACAAGTTCAGAGTGAGCCAGAATAAGGTCCTTGATGCATCTGCACTCACTGTTGTTGTTGTTGAACACAGACAGAGAAAGGGAGGTTTCGAGGTCCTTGAGCTCTAGGTCTTCTCGACTTCGTCCTGCTTTCCAAAACTCCAAAGCCGTCTGAACGATGCTCTCTCCTCCAGCGTTGCTACAGCGGAGATTAAACCAAACAGATGTTTAAGTATTCGGTATTAGCATCTGCAGTCATGCTAGTTCTGAGACATAGATGATGAAGACAGACGGGTGAAAATGAGGACAAATATTTAAGGTCTACTGAAAGGAAAAAGAAAAATCCAAAGTTTGCACTCAAAACAAATGTAAAGAGCAAGTCACCCCCTACCAGAGTCTCACACATCTCCCACTTCCTGTTTGAAAAATGCAACAAATGCTGTTGCCGGGCAGACACACAGGATCATGATGACATTGTGACTAGTGATGGGTACCGTTGACATTTGAATCGATACGTTACTAATTCCCAGTACCTATGAATCGATACCGGTACTTAATGGTACCAAATTTCGATACTTTTGAGTGTTTAATAACTATTTTAATTGCTTTTTAAACTAAATATATATTATTTTCCCAATATATATATATAACCATATTCAATAAATATGATAAATAACAAACAACTGTTTGTATTTTATCATCGTAGTGTACAAGTATTCAATATGAAAACCTTTAACAACAACTGTTCTTAAATCCTCTTCTATGCTCTCTGGAATGACTGATGAGGAGACCATGTCTTATAAACTACAAATGAAACTAAAGCTAACTTTGATACATACAACAGTTTGTAATTTAATATTGTGGAGTTTCACAAACTAAACCCAGCTCCATGTACTCCTTTTTCTCTCCTTTCTCCTCTGGACAAACTGTGTGATGGTCTTTGTAGTTTTATCAACGGCTAACTACACTGAAGCAAACAACTCTGCTGTGAACTAAATTAACTGTGTATTCTTTTTTTAAAATTTTTGCCATTCATTTTCAAACAGTTTATTTTTCCTGCTCGGAAGTTGGAATTTCCGAGGACAAAGCGAACGCACCGTTAGCTATGTAAACACAAACTAAACTATCAAGCTAACGTGATCTTAAAGAGCAAGTCAACCCCTACCAGAGTCTAACTCCACTCCCACTTCATGTTTGAAAAATGCAACAAATGCTGTTGCCTGGCAGACCGAGAAGGAGGAGCTGCTAACAAATACACACACACACAGGCTCACAACATCATTGTGACATCATAATGTACCAGTTTACATCATAGCATACCTCTTAGCCAATAGCGGTGGCTGATTTAATTTAAAATACAGTGCAGAGTTTTTACCTGACAACGGCACAACACTGCCAGTTTTAGGCAGAATATTTAAATTTTAACTAAGTTGCACTGAAGTGCCAACTTATTGACTACACTTGTCTGCAGCACGATTAGACACTCATTTATTTAGTTTATCAGCAAAAAAATGTTTATTTGGGGGTGACTTGCTCTTTAAAGAGCAAGTTACCCCCAAATCAACTTTTTAATTCTGATAAACTATATAAATGCGTGTCTAATCGTGCTGCAGACACGTGTAGTCAATAGTTTTGCATTTAAAAGCATCTTAGTTAAAATTTAAATTTTCTGCCTAAAACTGGCAGTGTTGTGCCGTTGTCAGGTAAAAACTGCACTGCATTTGAATTTAAATCTCCCATCGCTATTGGCTAAGAGGTACTCTAGAACGTTACCTTGTACCATATGATGTCACAATGTTGTGAGCCTGTGTGTGTGTGTGTGTGTGTATTTGTTAGCGGCTCTGCCCTCTCAGTCTGCCAGGCAACAGCATTTGTTGCATTTTTCAAACAGGAAGTGGGAGTTGAGGAAGAATCTGGTAGGGGGTGACTTGCTCTTTTTACAAGTCACCCCCTACCAGAGTCTAAAGCCTGATTTATGCTTCTCCGTCTGCGTCAGTGCGGAGACACGCAACACCATTATCTGTCCTTGCGTAGGGCACGCAAGTACGTACGGAGTCGAGCCCACTTTTTTAAACATCCGTCGAACGAGACGGATTACGCAAGCTTGTGATTGGTCAGGACGCCGCTGTTGTTTACAGCGCCACCATTGCAAAGAGAGCCGAGGATAACTAGCGGCAGACACGGAGAAGCTTGAAGAATACCTCGCGAAAAAACTCTAAAAATAGGAACGTTTAATTCTCCCGTGACTGGAGGAGAGAAAAGATGCACAGCAAGCGTTTTATTTGTGGACGGAAATGACAGGAAACGTGGGTTTAGAGGTGGGGAGCGCATGAAGCGGTGGGGGAATGAGAGACAAATATGTCCGTGTTAAAAGTCTCTTATATACACAAAAAACACAATATAAACACACGATCTTGGACCGATACATGACAGATACCACAGAACAGCGCTACGCCCTCTGTGGTCCTGCTGGGGAATTGCTTTGCAACACACTCCAGGAGACGGAGAAGTATGAGAGCAAAACGCTTCCGTCAATCCGTGTGTGTCTGTCCCTTGCGGAGCTGACGGAGAAGCATAAACCAGGCTTAACTCCACTCCCACTTCCTGTTTGAAAAATGCAACAAATGCTGTTGCCTGGCAGACCGAGAGGGCAGAGCCGCTAACAAATACACACAGGCTCACAACGACATTGTGACATCATAATGTACCAGTTTACATCATAGCATACCTCTTAGCCAACAGCGGTGGCAGATTTAAATTCAGATACAGTGCAGAGGTTTTACCTGACAACGGCACAACACTGCCAGTTTTAGGCAGAATATTTAAATTTTAACTAAGATGCACTGAAGTGCCAAATTATTGAATACACGTGTCTGCAGCACGATTAGACACTCGTTTATTTAGTTTATCAGCAAAAAAAAAAAGTTTATTTGGGGGTGACTTGCTCTTTAAGTTTATTTTGGCTGCTGGAGAAGATTAAGAGGCCTCATAATCAGATCGTTGTCACTGGTTTCATCATCACCCAATAGTCCATCGCATTTAGTGAAGTGAAGCCTAGTTTTAGAGCGCATTCGTTTTCTTTTAGTCGGAATGTCGGCGTTCCGAGGAGAAAGCAAACGCACCATTAGCTGAACAGAAGCCAACGTATCAAGCTAACGTTACCTTAAACATTTTATTTACCTACCGGAGCAGATTAAGATGATGATGCCTCCCTTAGATGGTTGTTGTTGGTTTCATCATCACTAGGGCTGTAGCGAAGCCTCGAGGAAGTCGACGGCTCGATTCTAAAAATTTGTCGACGTCAGATCCGGAAGTCGACGCACCGCGCCCACTTGTTGCATCCCCAGGAGTTTGTAAATAGAGGAGGAATCTGCCTGTTTTTCCTCTAGTTCGCCCTCTTCTCCGCCTTCACTAACATCTCCGCCAAATACCGAAGACCCGGAACAACGTCCGTCCACTACTAGATTATTTTCCTGTTTTGCCCGCCTTCGTCTCCCGGCAACAGACAACAACTTCCGGGGTCAGATGCGCTGCTTCGTGTCTATCGCAGATGTAGAAAATCACCGGGAGCGCTTCTCCCTTCATTAAGGAGCTTCTTTCAGACACGAGGAGAGCTGTTTTGGTGGTAGCAGTCTCTCCTCCGTGCTGGTCTGTTTGCTGCTGGGTGTTTTTGGTTTATTTAAACTTGGTAACTTGAACTTAATGTTGGTAAAGCTACTGTTAGCATCTTCGCTAACAGCTTCTTGCGTTGGGATAAGCTGTTACGTTTTGGTTTAGAGTTCATCTTTTTTGTGGTGTAGATCTCCCTTTTATTACATTTAGAGTGTTGTGGGTTTTCGGTTTAGTGTAAAATATCACCTGAGTTTGGTTTAACCCGTAAGACCACTCGCCTCACGCACATAAGTGACCAAAACAAAGCAGCATGGAGACACTCCATCTTCTACCACCTCTCAGGCAGCAGCCGGCACTCCCAAGTTCTACACGTCACCAGAACATAACCAAACAACACAATAAACGCAGTGGTATACAAAATGGAAGGCCTGTAGTGTTTATTCTCTTACAGTAAGAATTTATCAATTTTTTTGAGGAATTTATTTGAGATTTTCTGGTTTTTGTTAATTGTGCAATAGAAAAATAATCATTAGATTAATTTTCTAAATAGTCATTAGAATAGTCGACTATTCGATAAAATAATCGTCAGAATAATCGTTTTAAAAATAATCGTTTACCCCCAGCCCTAATCATCACCCAGTTACCCGTCCCATTTAGTGACGTGGATCTAAACTTCAGAATGCTTCGTCTCTGCTGTTTACAGCTCGCACACAGTGACTGATGACAATATTCTCTTGCGCCGGCACGCAGAATATTTAAATTTGATCCAAGATGCACTAAAGTACCAAATTATTGACTACACGAGTCTACAGCACGATTAGACACTAATTTACATAGTTATCAGCAAAAAAGATTGATATGGGGTGACTTGCTCCTTAAGGACATAAAGACTTAAAGGATTGTAGTTCGTTGCAAGATCCTGTCACAATTTGAGCTGGAATATGAATCTGATGTTTCTGCAGAAATAAAAAGTGAATGTGAAGTATTCACAGTTTAAAACACTAAACTGCTACACAATGTGTGTAGACTAGTTAGGTGGGACCAGTGTGACTAGCTGTTAGCTTATCTGTGAGAAAACAGGAACTAAAGAAACAGAAAACCAGCCAAACTGAATCCAGGGCCCTGAAGGACGACCAGCCTTTTACCTGAGGAACACGAAGATGGATTTCCGATATGAAACCCCATCTATCTTGTCGTAGTATTCCAGGTACGGTTTAATGCTGTCGATTAAACCAGGATGCATCTTATCCATCTCATCGAAGATAAACATCGAGCGTTCGCAGTTGGTGACGTTTCCTTTTATCCACTGCTGCAGCTGAGCCTGAGGGCGACAGAGACCAGCTCCCTCAAACAGCCGAACAGTGCCACCATGTATCAGTTCAACGGTGCATTATGCATAATATTGTTCACCTTGTATGCATCGATTTGACTCGGATGAGGAAAGTGAAGAGTGGAGGTGAAGACGTGAACGTAGCTGCTGTGCATCCCTTCCTTGTAGATGTTTTCAGCGATCAGCTTGCTGATGAAGTTCTTCCCTGTGCCAGTCCATCCGTGCAGCGACAGCACCAGGGGCTTCTTTGGGTTCTCATTCGTCATGAATCCGCTCACAGCTTTTAAAACAACACGCGATGCAAGATGCTGTCCGAAAAGTTTGGTGTCCAGATCGACCTTTAGACCTGAAGGTGTTTAGAGAGGAAATGAATCAGGGATTAGCGGCTTAAAGAGTCGTTTCAGCAGAACACAAAACCCGTCGTAACACGAGTAGCGGAGCCTGCTTGATCAAATGTGCAGCTTTGCTAACAAAAAAAAAAACATTTACCTCAATTTAGTTTCTAAACATTTGTTTTTAAAGTTGATTTGCCAAGTTGACAAAACATAGAAAGTACAATAATGACTAGACCCTCAAAGACATCAGCCTGAAAAATCTAACATTTACATCTTTTAAAGCAAAAGTACAAAACAGGTTTACGAAAGGCACAAACAACATCAGGGAGTTCCCAAAGTGTCTTAAAGGTTTTAACAGAAGTTGTCCCCACCCCAAATGAGTTTAGTTCTCTAGAGTCAGAAAATGGGCAAATTACGAGATCCTCTAATGTAATGTAACAAGGACTATGCTGGTTTTAGAAGTAGTCCTTTTATGAGGATTTTTCAGAACATGTGCAGAAGCAGTCGTGGAATACTGCTGTAATTAATATAAACATGTTTTGCCTACTAGTCAAATTGTCCTGAGTGAAACAAGGCTGATACATATTTCCATCGGTTAGAAACAAAAATAACCCACCAAGCTTTATGAGCCATCTCCCAGTGAACGACCGATCAATGGAGCCCAACACTGACCGGCTATTAACCGTTAAGGGCATTTGCAGTGGTCTTTGGTAGAAATGAATGCTTTGCAAGCCGTATTTTGTGCAAACAAACAAACCAGAATTGCTTGGATTACAAGTCTGCTGCAGCAGAAAGTGGCAGCAGTCTGCAGGATTTGCAGTCTTATTTCCTGATATTTGGAGATCTTGCCTCAGATTATGTCCTGGATGCAAAATCGACAACAGCCTTCTCTAACTAAGTGACTATTTTCATGTTCAGCCTGCATGAAAACTCAACAGTGACTGATTATAAACAGGAATAGTAGTTAAAAATTTGTCTTCCGGTGTTGCACACCACTGATCATGTTTAAAAAGGTTGTGCATCCACTGTTATTAGCATGCAGAGAAGGCAAAAATCGTCTAGATATCACCCCTTAAAATCTGCAGCACACATCTATCTGCTGACCATGATACATCAGCATCTGTAATAGACAAACATACATAGGTCAGCCTACTGCAAACCTAGTATTTGCTTTCATGCAGTATGATGCAGAAGTCTAGACAAATCAGGCTTTTGCTTACTTAATATTTAGCTTAAATAAAACGTGTACTCGTTTTAAATGGTTCTTTTCTTCACATATACAATTTTTTTTTTGGAAAATGACAATTTAGATAGGATCTTATATATATTCTAAATTTGCTGAATCTCCAAATACTAATCTGTGGATATTTAAACCACAAAAAAGCATCAAACTCCGGAAAAGAAGCGGCAATGTGTCAATGCAGGACCTTTTTAAATAAAGTGGATTGTAGTCTTTCATCCATCCGCAATACAACTTCATAGAAGTCAGCAGAACAGATGACTTGTTCGGTTTTCCAGAGTTCTTGTCATTTAAAGCCTCTAATGCAAACTGTGAATATCTGAAAGCTAATAATGATGCTCGGACAAGTGTAGATTGCTTCTGTGTGCTCACCTGTTGCGTTAAAGGCGATCCATTTCGCATCGCAAGTTTCTTGGAAATATTTATAGATTGTTCGGCCCAGAGTCGCTCCAACAGTGACTAACACCGTTGTTGTGAACGGATCAAAAGCACCCACAAGCACGCTAACCGTCAATAATACGTGTACCCACAACCCTATTCGTGCTACTTTCATGATGAAAACCGGTAAATTTTAGACATGAGTCGTTCTTTCGCGATAAAAACAACTTCAACGCGGCGGGAAAACGGCGCTAATCTGCAGAGAAGCTAGCTCCTGCTTTCCAAAATGGAACTTCCTGCTACGTCACGATCAGGTGACATGGGTTTTAAATGGGATTGGATGATCTTTAAAAGAAAACACAAAACTGTTGAAGCACAAATATTCGCTTGTTTGTCAAATAATTTTTTTACCTGTTTTGTTGAGAGAAATCCACTCCGGTCGGCAGCATTCGTGAAAGTAGTAGAAAAGGTTCTGGTAGCTGGCTAAAAACCCGGTGAGAGCTGCAGCCATGCTAACCGCGATGGTGGTGCTGATGGGTTCTAAAGCTTCTGCCATACCGGAACACAATAACAACAGCAGAGGCAGCACGTGTTGCTTCTTCGGCTTCATTTTGGTGCTTTGCGTAAAATGTCCTTAGCGAAAAGCCTGCCTTCCGAAGTGAAGAGAAGTTGTTCGCTACGACAACACGTCAGACGCAGCTGCGCTACGTTATGGTCCAAAGGTAGTTCTTCTTCTACGGTTCCATATTAGTGATGGGAATTCCGGCTCTTTTTAGAGAGCCGGTTCTTTCGGCTCCCAAGTGGCTCCTCAGATTTTCTGTTGCATAGAGTATATTTATAGCCAAAATAATGCAAAACTGTGTAAAATGATTTACTAATTTAAAAAAATTCTATATATCAAATATTTATCATTTCTATGGATTTCATAACTGAACACTTTCAGAAATCTCCACTTTCCGACTGCTGGTGCTCATTTTCTCACCGTCTTCGTCACACTCTCCTCTCTCTCGCTCACCTTTTTCCTCCTCCTCATTCCCTCTCGTCTCCCTCCACCCGCATGTGCTCTGCTGTGTGTCTGAGTCTTATCCTCCCTCTTCCCCACCCCTACTGCTCTGTGTGTGGACAGTCTGGACACGCAGTTACATATGCTGACCAATCGCCTGTGGCTTTCACCAAAGCAAAAGGGGAGGGGGGAGGGGACGGCTCCCAATGACGAGCCGGCTCCCGTCGTTCACTTCAAAGAGCCGGCTCTTAGAGCCGATTCGTTCGCGACCGACACATCACTATTCCATATATTCTATGTGTGACGGCTTCCTCTTGTTGTCCGTCCAGGGTTATTGGAGTTGCCTCAAATCACCGCACACATACAATCAGGCCACAGACACAGGACTGTCCTTCAGAGCTTTTTACTGGCAGGATCTGATGTAAAAACAAGCACACAATAATACATCAGTGTGTGTGCGCTGCAACTGCATACAACGGTCTCCACCAGCTTTCATTACTGCTTTTCCTTTTTTTTCCATCATATGATCGTATAGTGGCATTTAATAACAACAGCAATATATTAATTTAACAACTTGCATTTCAGAGCAATACATACTTTCTTTTTGATAAAACATATAAAATAGTTAATAGTACCAACAATGGCAGCGCAGCCGCCGACAGTTGAAACAGTTAACTGCCATCAGTAGGTATAACAGTCAACTGCCACCGGCAGTTGAAACAATAAAACATTTACAAATCATATTTTTACCAAACACATCTGAACGTACCTGATGTAAAAACAAGCACACAATAATACATCAGTGTGTGTGCGCTGCAACTGCATACAACGGTCTGTTCAAGGCAAAAAGAAAAAAACCCAAACATTACTAAAAGGACTGAAAAGCTAGCTTCCATTAGTGTGAATCTCGTCTATAAAGTTATTAATTTAATGCAAACACAGCTAACCTTTTTCAAAATATGCTCTAACAACACTTAAATATCTGTAACAAGTCCTATTGATATATTAATTAAAGGTTAAAATGACTTAAAGTGCAGAGCGGCTTCACAGTACACCTACCTCCACCAGCTTTCATTACTGCTTTGGTGGGAGGGGCTGTGAATGCGCCTGAAGGACCCGTTGCATGCAGTTGCGCCTAACCACCAGTAGGCGGCTCTAAAAACACAAACAATAACTGCACATTACTTTTGGTGAAATTCACATTTTCATCTCTGTTACACCCACCCCTGCTGAATTTCAGCCAAAATTATGAAAGTGCAAATACCATCACCATGACACAAAACCTCACATTACTCAACGTGGGTGTACACAGTTCAACTTAAACAGTATCCTCTATAAAGGATGAAGTGGCAAGGAAATGGCGCCCTATTCCCTACCAGCTCCTGGAAGCAGGATGCAGCCTACATCCTACATAACCCACGTGTAAAACAAAAAGAAGCCCCTAAACCAGGACTAGTACTAAGTTATGGTATATATCTATTATAAAATACAAAACACAGAACAAAGAACAAGATACAACTTGTTTAGAAAAGGGCATATTATTATACATGCCTCTACTGAAACATTTGAAAAACTGAATTAAAAACTGTCCATAAGCTGACCAGCATCGTCACTAATAGCCATGTTGGTCATCACCTGAATCAGCCTATTGACAGGCTTGACTGTCCTACCAACACGGGTTCTGACTGTGTGGACTGAGTCAGTGCCAATAGCAGACTGAGCAACCAGTGAAGTGTGTGAGAGAACACTCTGTCTATCAGCAGAGGGAACTAGCAAGGGATAAGGGTCATAGCCCGTCACACTAGGGGACAACAGAAGCCCCTCGTCTCCCTCCACTGCAGAGACCATCTCGCTGACGGAGTTGTTCATGTGAGCAGCATTACGGGATGCATCAGGTAAGGAGCTGACCCACTCTTGGGTTCTGATTCTTGAATCATTCTTTTCAACAACCGGTTCCGGTGTATCTGATGCAGTAGTAACATCAGATCCATCAGGTAAAAGGGCAGAAGAGTCGACAGACTGACTGGCTGTATCAAAGGGCAAGAAATTCACAAGCATCAAGAGGTTACGATGCACAACTCTGACCTGACCAGTGTTGGGATGCTGTATCTGATATGTGTGGGTTGTAGGATTCATGCCCACGACAGTAAACACTGTAGACTCCCAGCGGTCAGCAGTTTTACGCTTCCCTCTCTCCCGTTTGTTCGAGACTAGGACACGGTCTCCGACACCAATAGGTTTTCCTTTTGTGCGGCGGTTGTAGAGGCAGGCCTGCCGTTCCTGTTCCCTGTCGGCATGACTTAGAGCTATGGCCATGGCGTCCTGGAGATCTTTTGTCAGGGATAGCACATACTTGTCATAGCCACACAGTTCAGGATCTCTAAGAATGTTCTTAAAAAGCACATCAACAGGGAGGCGTGGCACTCTTCCATACATCAAATAAAAAGGGGCATAGCCTGTAGTCTCGTTGACTGTGCAATTGTACATGAAGGTTAATGTCTGAAGGTGTTTTGGCCAGTTCTGTTTTGCATCAGGTGGGAGAGCTCTTATCATGTTTCCCAGTGTTCTGTTGAAGCGTTCTGCGCTACCATTGCCCATCGGGTGGTAAGGGGTTGTATGGGATTTCCTCACACCCGCAACTTCCAACAGTTCCCTTATGAGCTGACTCTCAAAGGAGGGACCCTGGTCCGAATGTATCCTTTCAGGAAACCCGTATATACAGAAAAATTTGTCCCAAAGCTGCCTCGCCACCTGCTTTGCAGATTGGTCACGACAAGGAAAGGCCTGTGCAAGTCGTGTGAAATGGTCGGTCACAACCAACACGTCAACAGACTTGTTATTGGAGTCCTCTGCAGTCCAAAAATCAATGCACACGACCTCCAATGGTGAAGATGTTTTGATACTTTCAAGAGGTGCTCGACCTTCTGGATCAGGGGATTTGCCAATAACACACCGGGGACACTGGCGAACATAGTCTTTAACATCACGGTCAATGTGGGGCCAGAAGAACCTCTGACGAGCAATAGCCAAGCTCCTAAACTGCCCTTGATGACCAGCACTGTCATGAATCCCCTTGAGAACCTCAGCCTTTAGAGAATCAGGAACTACAAATTGGTGACGCCTCTTGTTGGTTACTGGGTTTTTAGAAAGTCTGTACAGGATTCCATTGGACATTGTAAACTTTTCCCAGTGTTTGAGGTACCTGGTGACCATGGCTTGCTCTTTGGGTTTCTCTCTTCTGGATGGGCGACGGCCACGGGCAACATAGTACAACACCCTTGATAGGACAGGGTCGTTTTGTTGTTTCTCACGCAACTCGGTTTCTGAAAAGACAGGTAGGTCATCCTGAACTGGAAGGATTAGCTGAGGTAGGTGTTCGAGGGTGTTAACAGCTCGTAGCCTAGCAGCAGATTCCCATGCACTTTGTGTTTCGAGAATAGCATGGACATCATCTTTTGTGAAGGACTGAAACTTTGTGCTGTTAGGGAGTTGCGACATGCTGGAGTGCTGGTCCTTGGCGTTCGACTGCCTAAAAGCCTCCTGGACTGAGCCAACTGAGACAGGGAGGGCCTCATTAAGGAGCTGGCTGTACGGTCTTTGCAACAGCTTCCTTACTACAGTCGACTTAATAAATGGCTCGCGACTTAAGGCATCCGCCACCAAATTCTTTGAGCCAGGGATATATTTAATGTCAAAGGCATAAGAAGCCAGCTTTGCCACCCATCGCTGTTCACAGGCATCCAAATGTGGCTTGGTGAGGATGTGCGTGAGTGGGTTGTTATCCGTCCACACTGTGAACATATGTCCTTTCAGCCAATGGCTGAATTTGTCACACACCGACCATTTGAGTGCCAAAAACTCAAGGCGATGGGCTGGATACTTTCTTTGAGCACGTGTGAGAGACTTGCTTGCAAATGCCACTGGCCGGGCCACACTCTCACCTTCCTGAACCTGTGATAGGACTGCACCCAAACCATCCAATGAGGCATCTGTAAACAGAACAAATGGGCAAGTGAAGTCTGGGTGGGCCAGAATTACTGAGTTGACCAAAGCTGCTTTAAGCTCCATGAATGCAGAATGGTGTTCATCTGTCCAGTCAGCTTTAGTCAATTTGCGAAGCACAAGCTTACGCTTGGTGGGTATCTTCAACTTGCGTTTCTGTTTTGCACCAGCAAGCAGATTAAAGAGTGGCCTGGCTACAGAGGAATAGTTGGGGATGAAATGCTGGTAGTAGTTAATCATGCCTAGAAACGAGCGAACACGAGATGGGGAAGGGGTGACGCCATCTGGTTCCATGAGATCTGCAGTTGACATGTTACTGATGGACTCAACTTTAGCGGGATCTGTGGATACACCAGACTCATTGATTATGTGTCCAAGAAACTTCACAGATCTTCTCATTAGCCAACATTTCTTTGGAGCAAGCTTCAGGTTGTGGAACCGCAGGCGGCCGAACACCATCTCCAACCTCTTGAAAGTCACCTCTTCAGAGGGGCCAAACACCAGCAAATCATCAAGGTAGCACAATAGACTGAGAAAGTTCTGGTCACCAAATATGGACATCATCATCCTCATGAAACTAGCTGGGCTGTTGCACAGTCCCTGGGGGAGCCTGTTGTATTCGTACAATCCCATGGGTGTTGTAAAGGCAGAGTATTTTCGGTCATCTTTGTGTAGTGGCATGTTGTAAAAACCAGATGTGAGGTCCATTGAGCAGAAGAATGTGTTCCCTCCCAAAGC